TTCTTTTCTGATAGTGTTTCAAAAAAGAATTGGAAACTGTACTTCTGAACTGTTGTCTAAATAGCATAAGCTGTAAACAGCATTCACAGTCTGTATTTTGTCTTCTCAGTATAGCATGGTTCCTATCATGCTTATGTTCTCAAAATGGTGTATCTTTTAGTATTTGTCTTTGTTCAGAAGTGGCTTTGAAAATACAACGCACTGAAAATTTTTAATGTTGTTAAATACTCTATTTGCTTTTACAGTGTGATTTAGTTCTATTTCTATGTTTGTCTCTGTATTTTATTTTTAAGCTAGCAAACTTACTAACAAATGTTTGCTGACCTTCATGCAATGAGTCTACTTAATATTAGAGAATAATCCTATGACTCTACTAAATAACAGAAAAACATCTCTTTAGGTTTGGTATTTAATTAGGTAACTAAAGACAGAATTGTCAGTTTATATCTTGTCAAAGAATATATTGAAGGTCACCCTGGATCAATATATTTGAATGGAAAAGTAAATGGTTGGCTTTGTTTTCTAATTCTTGAAATAGAGAAAATCATATTCATAGGGAAGCTTCCATATTCCCCCTTTTCAACCAAGAGTTGTATTGCAACTAGCAATGATAGAAAGCTCTTTAAGCTTTGTATTTTACAAATTCAAACAACACAACAAGCTGTGTTGTATTTTATCAGCTAAGAGAATGGAATTAAGTACTTTAAAGAAGTGGCTTCTATGCTGTTGTCTTTCCAATTAAAAAGTAAAGCATATATTTCTTTCTTTCTTTTTTTTTTTTAAAGCATATATTTCTTCTGGGACATTTCATTATACTGAAAAAAAAACTTAGATGCATTTGTTTTTACCTGACATCATTAGAGGAGAGGTTCTATGTTAGTTATATTGAAAGATCATTTTGCCTTACTACTTTGAACATAACCTTCTTTTAATTTTCGTTTCCTTAGAAAAAAAATTACTTTTTTGTCACTTGCACCTTAAGAAATATATTGGTATGGCCTTTTTCTTTATGATGAATTATAACCTAGAAATGGTATTTACCTGCCCATGTATTTCTAGTAACACCATAGTGCTTTTTTTTTTTTCAGAGTTTGTGTCTGCTTATGTTTCTTTCCCCAATCTCAGGTGTAACTTCCAACTTCCAGATATGCTTATTGAGCCAATCTCTATAATAGTACCAGAAAATTGGAATAAATAAACTTTGAGCAAATAAATCACTTATGGACAAACTGTGTGAGCTCTAGTGCACGAATAGCTTTCTTTTTAGTACATTTTGACTTAGAGTTTTTTTTAGTACAATTTCTTGACTGTGTTCAGTATAGTTAATGTAGCTGTATTTTGTAAATATCTATTAAACCTGCATTTGTAGACAATGTATTTATAATTTCACTTTAGGAAGACTGAAAGAGTATAAAGCTTGCTTTATTGTATCTAAACTTTATTGAACCAAATTTATTATGGAAGTATATGAAAACGTTATACCTTGCCAATGATGATAGCTCTTGTATTCTATTCAGAAACTAGAAGTTAGGGACATGGTGTTTATTTAGAAATATTTATGACTACAGACTTAGGGAAGACTTAAGACCAAAAAGCACTAACCATTAAAGAATGAGGTGGCTAAATTTGGCTACATTAAAATTAAGAGTGGTTTATAAGAAGAAAATGCTAGTAATAAAAAGATAAGCCATTGAATAGGGACTTATTTGTAACATATAACTGGCAAAAGACCAGTATCTGGAATACATCAGGAATTCCTATATAAATCAATAAGAAAAAATAGTAATTTTTTTTTTTAATGCACAAAAGATTAGGGGAATCTGAGTGGCTCACTTGGTTAAGCATCTGACGACTGGTTTTGGCAGAGGTCGTGATCACATGGGTTGTGGGATTGAGCCCCTTGTCAAGCTCAGTGGATGGTCTGCTTGAAGATCTCTCCCTCTGCCCCTCCCCCTGGTTGTGTGAGCACATGGATGTGCACACACACTCTGTCTCTCAAATGAATAAATGAATCTTAAAAAAAATAAATGCACAAAGCATCTGAAGAGTTCCTTTACAAAAAGAAATTTAAAATAGCTAAAAAACATGAGAAAGTGCTCAAGATCATTAATAGTTAGGGAGATACAAACTAGAATCTCATTATACCATTGATATACACACCCAGCAGATTAGCAAAAATATTAAAAATTTGCCAATATTGATGTTACCATGGAGATAGAGAAAGGTGAACTCTTACACACTATTAGAAAAATAATTTGGTATCATAAAGTTGAATATACCTATATACTATAACCCAGGAATTCTTCTAGGTTTAAGCCTTAGAGAAACTCAGAGAAAGAGAAATCTATCTCCAGGATATATATATATGTATGTATGTATGTGTGTGTGTGTGTGTGTATATATAAAACCAGGATACACGCCCAAGAGTATTTGTGGCACCATTGTTTATAAGAGGGACAAACTAGGAACCACCCAAATGTTTATCTACAATAGATGGATAAATAGTGGCATAGTCATCCAATGGGATTGATGAGCAATAAAATCCCATTGGATTTTAATCCCATGCTTATATAATGAGCAATAAAAATGAATGAAATACCTGCTTGACACACTGGTAAAGAATATTTGCAAAAGTCAAGATAGTTGCCTTTGAGGAGAAAAGTAGATTGTGATCAAGAATGATGCTGGGAAGTGGGGAGGATCTTATGGGATTTTGACAGTTCTCTGTTTTTTTATTTGGATGGTAGTTATGTCAATATTCACTGTGTACATTAAATTATACATTTATGTTTTATGCATTTTTCTGAAGCTGTTCTGTATTTTACATATGTAATAAAATAATTACAAGTAACAGTGGAATCTTCTGTTAATTTTCGAATCAAATTATCAAATTTTTGTGTTTGAAAGGGTGAATAAGGATTAGACCTTTTCAGTAATTCATAGTCAAGTATGGAATATGAATATGAAAACAAATATTTAAAGTATGTTGTGATAAATAGGTTTGTACAAATATGTGTGAAATGCTGTATATCTCAGACAAGGGGAGAGCGAAGTATGTCTACACAGTCATAGCAAGGCCACCTCTTCTGAGTCTTAAGAGGCACCCGACATTCTAAAAACACATGAATTTTTAAAGTTAGACCTAAGTTTGAATCAGTTCCAATACTTTCATTTACTGACATTAGTCAAGTTACTTAATTTCTGTGAGCCTCAGTTTTTTCAATTATAAAAAATATATAGTTAGTATGTGGGGTTTTTTTTGTGTGGTAGTGTTTCAAAGATTAGTAAGTAAAGCATCTGACATAGTGTCGTAATCACAAGTGTTCTTACAAATGGATATTATTGGTTCCTTTGTTGTCATGAATATGTTAATTATACTGATAAATTAATCAAAATTAGATACAAATTGAAGTGAAAGTCTGTTCTTTTAAGAACAAAAGAAGTCATTTTTTATATTTATAGTATATACTTTTAGAAAATTTTTTAAAAATTTAAATCTATAGAAGAGCTTTGAAATAATTTATCAGTTCATCAGTATTAAGAATGTTACTACTCTGAATAAATATTTTAGATTTTTAAACTGAATCATGTAACTTTGATTTGCTTTATACTAAAGTCTAAAATTTTGGTAAGTTATTTAAAATTTCACATTACATTTATGAAACAGTTTTCTCCCCCTAGTATTGGGATTGAGTCTCCTTATCAGAACTGGAGGGTAAGGAAGATACCTTCTTCATATTACAGAAAACAATTCAATAAAATCTCTGGATTAAGAAATTGGAATGGATTTATTTTTAGCTAATATAAACCAAATACTGAATAAATGGTATCTTTAATATGTTAGAAATGATTTTTAGATGCTTCAGGCACTGGTGCTACTGATGATTTTTTAAGTGCTGCTTTATGAATAATCGTGTATATTTTTAATATAGGCTTTTATTGGACTTAGAACAATTATAGGAAAGAGTTAATAATACTTGCCCTCAAAAGTAGAAGCACCATCATTGAGTACTGCTCCTTTTATGCCTGCCACACAAATTTCAGCATTAACATTTCTCTAACTGTACTTTTAATAACATTAATTTGCTAATTGCTTTTGGCATAGTGTTATTTTAATGTGTTAAATGATTGCAGGGATCCGCATGTTCATCCCAGTGCATTCATATATTTTAGATTTGTCCTTTTAGAATTTGTATAGCAATAGTCAGTGCCAATGATCATTTTAAAGGAAACATGAATTTAATGTATATTATGTGGAAAATACTATGCTAAGTGCTTTCTAATGGATCCTCATTTAATTCTCACAATAGGCACATTGTTAGATTTTTTTAAAATCTGCCCCTCAATCTAGATTTATTTTCCCTAGTCTTTTATCACTAATTCTAGAATTGCTCCAATTTGGCAAGAGATGTGAAAAGTATGTTGGGTTGGTTTTATCAGTTAGGATTCTTTTTTAGAAAAGAGCTCACTAGATGGGTGCCTGGGTGGCTCAGTCAGTTGAGCAACCAACCGACTCTTGGTTTCAGCTCAGGTCTTGATCTCAGGGTTGTGAGATTGAGCCCTGCCCTCATCAGGCTCCACCCTCAGCTGGGAGTCTGCTTCTCTCTTCTCTCTCAAAATAAATAAAATAAATCTTAAAAAAAAAAAAAAAAGAAAGAAAAGAGGTCACTAGAACAAAAGCTCCATGAGGCCTCTGAAGTTCATGCAAAGTGCTCTAGGAGCCACAGAAAAGAGGTATTTAACTTGATGTTGACGAGTTCAGGAAAAGACTTTATCTCTATAAGCCTTAATTTATTCCAAAGAGTTATTATACTATGTATGATCCCTTAGAAGTCTTTTAAGCTCTAATAGTTTAATACTGTATATTTAATCTAGACTTTTGTACCAATGAACATCAGTAATAAATGTACATTTGAAATTGGATGACTTATATGCATTTGCTTCTTAATACCTGCATGCTATATAGTAATACTCAAATAATAACAATGTTTTTTTTATAGGTTTTGAAAGAGGAAAGGAAGACATTTCTCAAAATAAAGATGAATCTTCACTTTCTATGTCAAAGAGCAAGGTAAGTATATGTTGTCCCCAAATACATGATTATGGCATTTTTCTAATATTTAAGAAGAAGAACTAACACTAAGAATTCTATCCAATTTTTATGGCATGTTTTTATTTATGTTGGTGTATCTAAATCATTCAGTATATATGAAACAAAGAAAATTCCACTGGAGTTGATGTAGGATGCTGTTGGTAACTTGGAAATACCTATTGGTAACAAGTGTGTTCTCTCCAGAGTTATATTGCTTCTGATATCTGCTACTGTACTTCTCAGAGTTCCATTCAGAGAAGTTCTCAGGATTTGTGATTTTTTTTTTAATTCCTAAGTATTCCAACTTTATTTGAATGACAATCAAAATACATACATTTTACCATTTAAAGGCCAAAGATCTCTTGCAGTAGTAGCTTGCAATTGAAAGACGTTTTCTTAGAATAAGATATAGTTTCCTAAATTAGTAATTCTGGGGCACCTGGGTGGCTCAGTGGTTGAGAGTCTGCCTTCGGCTCAGGTTGCGATCCCAACACCTGGCTGGCTCAGTTGGTAGAGCATGGGACTCTTGATCTTGGGGCTGTGAATTCAGGCCCCACGTTGGACATAGGGCTTATTTTTAAAAGGGAGGGGGGATTACAGTGAATGAGTGGGATTCTTAACATGGTAACTAGTGTAAGTAAAGTTGTACTTAATTCCTGTTATATTCCAACAGTTGAAACCTATCTTTACTTAGATTTAATCCTTGTCTATTCTGTTAGCTGAAGAGATGCATGGTCAGTAGTTTGTCCTTAAATAGTCTAACACATAAACTACACTTGTTTTTCACAGCAATCCTAAAATTTATACATTTATCATTAAACCACATTCTCATGGAATTCCGAACATTTTAACCTTACTTAAGTAACTTCAGGAAACAAAGTTTGCTATTCCTTCTGTAATCAGTGTGTGTAACTAAAACCATCATAATTTTAATCTTCTGTTTTTCTGAATTTGATGCAAAAGTATTAATACTGCCATTTTGGTCATTTGGATTTGGGATTAAGTTATTTCTTTAAATACATGATTAAGACCATTAAGCACAATGGAATATACCTTTTTTCCCTCCTCCCCATTAAAAAAAAATAAAGACAGTTTCTATTTCTCATGCATCCTATAAATAAGTCAATTGGAAAAGTCAGTAATTAAATCTATCCCATTTGCTGTTAGCATTTTAAGTGAATTTTTAGTAGTCCATCTCAACAAAAGGAATTACCAACCTGGGTACTGTGTCTAGTGGGATGAAAGGAATCTTATTTCAAGGATAGAACCTATTTCTAGGTTTTTGAGCCTAGATCTTTTATTGACTTGATTCTCCAAGCATACATCTGCTTATCTAACAGGTATGCTAATTTGCCTGTCGCTTGCTATAAAAAATATATTTACCTGGACATTTAAAAAAAACCTTTCCAAATCAGAATATCTGAGCAGGGCATAGTAACATAACATTATTACTCCTTATATTTGTAGTATTTTATAGTTTTCAAAGCAAGTTGAAAGTATTCTCATATATTAATGTTCCCTTTACTTGAAGGTCAGATTTATGACAGTACCTGAAACATAATATATACAAAGTAGTATGTTAAGCCCATCATGCACACTACCTCATTATCTTCAGAGCAACCCTACAAATTAGTAGGAGTTATCCTTATTCTACAAATGAGGAAGCTAAGACTGAAAGAGATTGAATAACCTCCTGAAGTCACACAGCCCATAAGAAGACAATAGTTAAGGGGGGGAAAGAAAAAAGGAGAGAAAAAGAAAACTAAAAATATAACATACTGAGCATTCTAAGGCTATTTAATGAAAAAACAAACAGTACTATACATTAAACCCTGTGGTCATCATTAAGATAGTGGTCAATAAGGTTATAAAAGAAGGACAAGTTATTTTAGTAAAATATTTCCAACAAAAATAGGTTGAGTTTTGATATTTAAAAGGCAACCTGTTGATTCAGAAAACTTAGGTGTAGTGTTATTTTAAAAACTTATAGAAACTTGGTCAGTGGGTCTTCCCCTTCCCCCTACCCCCAGAACTGGCTACACAAGATGGCAAGGATTCCTTGAAATATGTGTTCTCTAAAATTTACCAAGCTCATGTGACACCCTTCTGGCCTGCTGGTCCCTTATATACTAGAACCTTTTAGGAATCACCAAGCCGGATCTTGTCATGTCAGGGAAACATTTCCTGTTATTCATGAAGATAAATCTTAAATTTGAGTCTAGCTAAAATTCTCTGTGAATAGTTGTAAAAGGTGAGAAATCATTACAATGAAGTAGCTAAGAGCATGATACTGGGAATTAGGTAGAACAGAGTACAAATCCCATCTCATCTACTTAGTGGCTCTGTGACTTTGGGAAGTTATCTTTAATTGGTTAGACTTGGTTTCCTTATTAGCAAAAGGAGGATACTGTGACTATCTCATAGGGTTGCTTATTAAATGAAGTAGTACATGTGAAGTATTTAGAAAAGTACTTGATAAAGAATAGGCAGCCATTAATTTCCATTAGCATTTATTCCTCATTCACTGGTGTCTAAGAAGTATAATATAATACCCATTTTCCTATGAAGCTGTGGGAAATAGAAATCATCCTATTCTTCTGACAATAGCTGTGCCATCTTTAGGTTCTTGGGGGTGAGGGGAAGACAGAGATGTATTTGGCTTGAGCAACTTTGTAAAATTGTTTTATTACCACAATCAGTGCCATTGCCACAAGAGTAAGTAGTATGATGTTTGAAATTCAGTTCTCAAAGGAGTGACTTCATTAAAAAAAAAAAATAACGAGGGAGAGAGAGACAGCAAGAGAGAGCAGGAGCAGGGAGGAGAGGCAGAAGCAAACTCTCGGCTGAATAGGAGCCTAACGTAGGGCTTGATCCCAGGACCCTGGCATTGTGACCTGAGCCGGAGGCAGACCAACTGGGCCACTCAGGTGCCTCTATTTCAAGGTTCTTATGAAGATCAAATAAAAATAAGTATAAACAAAGTCTGGAAACAAGTTTAAGACCATAATACTTTAGAGAGCACTGGATAGGGAGGAAGAAGTAGATGGTAGGAATATTGGTTTTTAAACACTAAATTAGATAGTGTTTTAATACTAATTTCTAAAGATATATATTTCTTTCCATCAGAGAAGTAACAGTAGGGTAATGTGTCCAATAACTTGCTAGAATGTACATGATTTGGTTTATTAATTTGGAATATTTTTAACTGTTAAAAAGTTACATTGCTTTGGATGCTTTTAAGAATAAATAATTACAGGGCACCTGGGTGGCTCAGTGGTTGAGCATCTGCCTTTGGCTAAGGTCATTGTCCTGGGGTCCTGGGATGGAGTCCCATATCAGGCTTCCTGCAGGGAGCCTACCTCTCCCTATGTATCTGCCTCTCTCTCTGTGTCTCTCATGAATAAATAAGTAAAAATCTTAAAAAAAAAAACAGAATAAATAATTTCATATGTTTATTAGAAATATTCCAGAAGATAGAATGCAAAAATTTACAAATGATCTTATTTAACCTCACATTGTAGATTAATTTATTAATTCGGTTTTTTTGTTTGTTTTTTGTTTTGTTTTGTTTTTAAATAATCTTTACACCCAGTGTGGGGCTTGAACCTACCACCCCAAGATCAGGAGTTGCATCCTTTTCTGACTGAGCCAGCCAGGTGCCCCTGACTAGTGTTTATTTTGTGCTTTTGTGGGTTTCACACAGATTAGCTTTTAAACCCAGATGCTATCTATATAGGGAAAGTTGACATTTGAAAATTTATATTTGCCTTAAATACAGCAATAAATGGGAAGAATTCAGAAACATAGCTCTAACATTAATTTTTATATGCCTGTATGCATAGAATAAATGAAGTTTTTAATTAGTATTTCTCTTTTGTTTATTTCTATGTGATTTCAGTCTGAATCTAAACTTTATAATGGCTCGGAGAAGGATAGTTCTGCTTCAAGCAAGCTCACAAAAAAAGAATCTCTCAAGGTTAGTTTCCACAGTTACTTCATTAATAACATTATGCATTGCATATGCTTTTGAGGTAGGCTAACAAGATAAATATGTCTCCAAAAGAAAGAAAAATAATATCCAGATAAGCACACATAAAGAATGTTAATATTTGTGTGGCACACTGGAGTCAACTGAAGAGGCTACTTGATGATCGTTCAGCACCGCCTCAGGCCTCATCTGGCCATTCCTTTGTCTGAGGACTGGATAGCTCTGTGTAGTTATACCTACTTAGGCACATCAGTGTGTTGTAGAACATGTAATGGGAAGTTGTGGTGCTTTTTGAAATTCAAGTTCACTAACTGCAGGGTCGTGGGCTGAATTTGGCCCACAGGTAGATCTATTTTGTTTGATCTATATTGATATAGGATATATTGCTATCATATTTTAAGTTAAATATTGATATAATGTTTTTAAAACTTGAGGTAAACAGTTACAAGTTCAAATTTCCAACCTCTCTTTAAGAAATATTGCACTTTGGGCTTGCCTTCCAGAATGGCCACAGATCCTGGATCTTAAGAAACAGATGCTTTCTAGTTGACTCTGATCCCTGCGTGGTCTATTTTACCCCTTTTTTTCTTATATCCGTATGCATTTGCACCTGCAATCCCCTATTAAATCTACTGTTATTCAGATATTAATAAATATCTGAATATTAATAAAGATCAAAAGTCTGAAGTTTTTGGCTATAGAATTATTTAAATCTTGTTAGGTATATAGTCTTCTTACTATGAAGTACAACTAAGAAGGTTTTATAGCTAAAAGAAATGTATCACCACTCTTCTCCCATCCATATAATAACAACAAAGTAATAATAAGACTATATTAATCCTCTACGGCCTTCCCAAATTATCTCAGAGGTAACCTATGAAGGTAAAACTGATAATTTGAATGAATTAGTATCATTTTGTGATTTCTTAATTATTTATATCTTAGTATTAGGAAAGAGCAAAATTGCCAGTTGTAAACAAATGCAGCGTTGTTTGTAATATGAAAAAACTGATAGACTGGATTTCTATCAGCAAGAGAACTTAAGAAAAATTATAGAAGCAGTATAGCATGGTGGTTAAGAGCATGTCTTTAGAACCAGTCTGCCTTTGTTTGAATCCTGCCTCCATGAGTTACACTAGCTGTGTGATCCTGGGCAAGTTACTCTCTGTGCCTCAGTTTTCTCATCTGTAAAACAAGGATAATAATTATCTTACTTTCCGAGGTTATTGTGAAGATTAAATGAGGGTAGTACTTGTAAAGTGCTTAGAACAGTAACTGTTATGCAGAATGCGTCCAGTAAATGTTAGCTCTTCACTCTTATTTTATCATACTACGAAACTTATGTAGCAATTAAAAGAATGAGGTAAAAAAGAAAAAAAATAAATAAAAGAATGAGGTAGGCATGAAAATGCTCCAAAAAATGTTGAATGAGGGAAGCTTTTTTTAAAAATGTGTTTAAAAAAAAGAAAAAGAAAAGCTATATAGAAAAGCTATATATTTCTATAGGTTGTATACAGAGAAAAAGCCTGAAAGGATAGTGTTTTCCAGAAGTGTTAATACTGGTCAATTCTAGAGATTGTAAGAGGATAGGGTATAATAAAGACAACTCTTAGCTCTATTTGTGTTGTTTGAAATTCTTACCATGAGATTGGATACATCTAGTATTGTGTCATTAAAAAAAGGTAAAATTCTTCAAAAAGATACAGAGAACTACTAATCAGAAAAACTAGATTCTGGGATGCCTGGGTGGCTCAGTGGTTGCTTGTCTGCCTTTGGCTCAGGGTATGATCTGAGAGTCCCGGGATGGAGTCCCACACCAGGCTCCCTGCAGGGAGCCTGCTTCTCCCTCTGCCTAAGTCTCTGCCTCTGTCTCTCTCTCTGTGTCCCTCATGAATAAATAAATACAATCTTAAAAAAAAAAAACTAGATTCTAATCTCTAAAAATTCCTACCATCTCTTAAAAAAAAAAGTTCTTTTATCCTAAGATGCTAAAATTCTAAAAGAGGTTTAGAATTTAATGCTTTGCATCCTATAGACCTAAAGTATTTGGAAAGAAATTGCTCATTTCTAATGAATTTTTTATTTTTCTATTATTTCTGTAAAATAGGTGCAAAAGAAAAATTACCGGGAAGAAAAGAAAAGAGCCACAAAGGAGTTACTCAGTACAATCACAGATCCTTCTGTTATTGTTATGGCTGATTGGTTGAAGGTCAGTTTGTATTGAAGCTTGAATTCAAATTGCTGAATGTTTACCTACTGGAATAGGAAAGCCCTGAGTGCACCTAAAGCCTTCAAGACAAAAACAACTCCTGGGATGATTGTTTTTCACTGGCAACCTATTAATTGTATCCCAGAGGTTCTGTGTTCCAGCCTTAATGGGGAAAAGGAAAATTAATGTTGTCTGTCTTGGGAAATATTTTGTTATTCAATATCGTTCAGTATTATTGTAGACAGATGTGTATGCATTATTGAGAAGATCTGAAACAAGGTTAATTTAAAAGTTATTTCGAAAAGATTAATTTTCCGAAAAACATGCATATTGCTTTTTCCAAGCCTCTGATTATTTCCACTTACTCTTCTTTCTTTCTTTCTTTCTTTCTTTCTTTCTTTCTTTCTTTCTTTCTTTCTTTCTTTCTTTCTTTCTCTTTCTTTCTTTCTTTCTTTTTTTTTTTTTTGTCATCCCACTCTATTCTCTTTCTCATCTGAAGGATATTTGGTTGGAATCTTTCAGACTAATGCTAAGTTTAAGAATGATCTTGTCAAGACTCTGACTCTAGGAAACTTTAGTACCTGACATTCATCTAAAAATCACCCCAGCTGTGAAAGCTTTCCACTGTCCCAAAAAATTGGTAAAACCGCCTTATGAGATCTGTTGTGGAAGTTCTCTCACTAAAATGGAAGCTTAATGATAGTTTGCTTGTTAGTGCAGGTAGTACTAGGGTCTTCTTCAGTGGTGTACTAAAAATACATTCTGACTTACTTTGACTTTACTTAGAAATCTTTAAGCTCCAGGGCAGCCCAGGTGGCTCAGCGGTTGAGCGCTGCCTTCAGCCCAGGGCCTGATCCTGGAGACCCTGGATTGAGTCCTACATCGGGCTCCCTACGTGGAGCCTGCTTCTCCCTCTGCCTGTGTCTCTGCCATTCTCTGTCTCTCTCTGTGTCTCTCATTAATAAATAAATAAAAATCTTAAAAAAAAAACCTTCAAGCTCCAGGTCTCACTTGTGTTTTTCTGAGCTAAACTTCCTATTGTCTTTTGACATTGGGTTCCAGCAACTAATCCCCTAAAAGTCCCCAACAGATCCCCTGGCTGACTTTCTAAATCATACCTTCATCTGATAATTTGCCATTTATGTTCTATGTCACATGTCCCAGATTAAAAATGTTATCTTAGGATATCTTAGGATAACTATTCCTTTTGTTTTTCTTGTCTTGCCATTTCTTTTACATAAACACATACTTTTCTCAGAGATTTTTTTACTTTTTTCATTCCTGGCTCCAAACTCCCCCTTACTAATTTTTTCTTATTTGCAGTTTCTGTGGTATGCCTATTTCTGGGGTTAGGGAGCCCTATATTTATTTCATAATTCATAAAAGTACATTGAGAGCAGACATTTTATAGTAAATAAAAGGATAATTCCTAGTTTTTATTCTAAATATATTAGCATTCTTTTCAGTATTGTTAATTCAGTGACTTGCATAGAAACATTTTTACTGTATAACAGAAATAGAAATTGATAGGAAAAGCCAGTTATAGACTTGTTATTGACATAATATTAAACCCTGGGATGAGGAACATTTTGAGACTAGAGAGAGATTCAGGTAACTGTGTCTTAAAATTACCCCAAGAACTTAAATGGCACACTTTATGTAATTACTAAGAACAAAGTAATTTGGAGAAGGTAATTTTAGAGGATGGAAGAGAGTTCTTCCCTCTTCCTACCACTCAATGAATGTTTAGGGAATGCCTAGTGTTTGTGCTAGCAGTGATTTCAGCACTGTTAATGTAGTAGTGGGGGGGATTCTTAAAAGGTGGAATAATCTTACACTCCCACACATAAAATTATGAGAGATGGTAAGAAGAGACTCTTGGTACTAGGAAAGTATATTTTAATGGCTCCTGAGCTGGCCCAGAGGGTTAGGAAAACCATTCTACTTGGCACATTATTTTGAACCTGTTGACCTAGTCTCTGGCTAGAGTGTGAGTTCCTCAGAAGCAGGAGCCATTCTTTTTTTACCTTTGTGTGCAGTGCTTACCATCTACTAGCTTAAAAAAATCTACTGAATCTAGTTCTATTTTGTGGAGATTTTAGATTAAAATATCCTCTTTGCCATTACTGAGTTTGTATCTTGTGGGGCAAAAAGAGAAAAATGGAGCTTTATTTCCTAATAAAGTTATCTTTCTATAGATTCGTGGTACTCTAAAGAGCTGGACCAAGTTGTGGTGTGTTTTGAAACCTGGGGTGCTACTGATTTATAAAACCCAAAAAAATGGCCAGTGGGTTGGAACAGTCCTTCTGAATGCCTGTGAAATCATTGAGCGTCCATCAAAAAAGGATGGCTTTTGTTTTAAACTTTTTCATCCTTTGGAGCAGTCTATTTGGGCAGTGAAGGTAAGTAAGCACTAGGTAGAAGGTAAAGATAACAATCTATGAATAGAGTGGAGATGAATCAAGTTATCTAATGATTGCTGACCTCTGCCAAGACTTCCGAATTTGCTTCTGTTTTAAAGTGCGTTATTCCTCTTTTTGTCTCTACACACAGTAAACTATGTACCGATCTCCCTGGGGATTCAGTTTGTACTTTGTTTTTTAATTGCAGTTACTAGCTTTGCTTTGTAATATTGTATCCTATTTATAGTGAGTGAGGTTTTTTTTTTTTTTAGGGTTTTTTTTTTTTTTAGGTTTTTTTTTTTCCTTTATCAAATTATAAGATCCCTAGAACAGAGCTGCCATTTATTCTTGTGGTCTTTCCTAGAAGATGTAAATATGTGACAAGAAATCTATAACTAGAAATAAGAGTAAATAGTCTACTTACTCTTGAGATTCAGCTTTCTTTGAAGGCGAAGATCTAATGCTTTAAAACTAAAAAGTAGGGACACCTGGGTGGCTCAGTGGTTGAGCATCTCTGCCTCAGGTGGTGATCCCAGGGTCCTGGAACTGAGTCCCATATAGGGAGGCTGCTTCTCTCCAAGCCTGTGTCTCATGAATAAATAAATAAAACTTTAAAAATAAAAAAAATAAAAATAAAAAATATTACTGTGGTCACTCATGTGTTAAAAAAGCAGAAACTTAATCAGGAAAACAGGAATGCCATATTTGATTAACTACCAAGGCATTCTACAGATATTAGATATGTAATACACAGTAATGGAATAAATTGATTTAATTTAAATTTTTACAAAGCAATCATTGTTTTAGTTTCTAAGAAGGCCAGTTATACATGAATAAATGGTTTAGAGGTTCTCCTTTAAGGAAAGCCACCTAATTGAGATTTAGGGTTAAACAAACAAATGCAACTTCAGCTTTTAAATATTTTTTGGTATTGCTTAATTAGGCAACATATATACACACATCTCTAAATGACTTGGACTTTTAACCTTTATTTTAGTAGTCTGTAGTCATAGCAGGACTAAATTTAGGATTAGAGTTCCATTCTGGGATTAGGCACTTCCCACAGGGAAAGAATTTAACATCTAGAACTTCTGTTAGTTATACACCATATGATTCCCAAATGAAAAAAACAACTTTCAAAAGCCTTTCTATATAGTATTTATTCTTTACTAATACTCTTAGGAATTATAAGAATTACAATGAATTTTTATTTTTATTTTTTTTATTTTTATTTTTTTATTATTTACGATAGTCATACAGAGAGAGAGAGAGGCAGAGACACAGGTGGAGGGAGAAGCAGGCTCCATGCACCGGGAGCCTGACGTGGGATTCGATCCCGGGTCTCCAGGATAGCGCCCTGGGCCAAAGGCAGGCGCCAAACCGCTGCGCCACCCAGGGATCCCTACAATGAATTTTTAAATTATTTTAAAAAGATTTTAATGCCAAATTTATTGAATTCTCAATATTGTTGGGAAAGAGGGAAATTAGTCCAGTTAATTGACTATCAGAATATTCTCCACTGGGGGATCCCTGGGTGGCTCAGCAGTTTGGCGCCTGCCTTCGGCCCAGGGCGTGATCCTGGAGTCCTGGGATCGAGTCCCACATCGGGCTCCCTGTGTGGAGCCTGCTTCTCCCTCTGCTTGTGTCTCTGCCTGCCTCTCTCTCTCTCTCTCTCTCTCTCTCTCTCTCTCTCTCCCCCGCCCCCGTGTCCCTCATGAATGAATAAATAAAATACTAAAAAAAAAAAAAAATAAAGTCAGTATCCATGATTAGGTAAAAGTAATGTTTATGAGTTCTTACTTTGTATGAGGGACTCTTGAGCATTTTACATGGACTTTAAAAATTCTCATACCTTTAGGGGTGCCTAGGTAGCTCTGTTAGGCAGCTGCCTTCAGCTTAAGTCATGATCTTGGGGTCCAGGGATTATGCCCTAAGTTGAGTTCCCTGCTCAGTGAGGAGTCTGCTTGTCCCTCTCTCTCTGCCACCCTCCTCTGGCTTGTGTGTTCTCTCTCTCAAATAAATAAATAAAATCTTTAAAAAAATAAAAGTAAAAGTTATCACCTAAAGAGGTTACTTAGGTAGTTTTTCTGGCATGGAACCAAACTTTAAACCCAACAGTCTGACTAGATCTTACTCTATGCTAGTTCTAGGAGCTGGCCCTTAAAATTATAAAGCTCTTTGAAAATACCCAAGTGAAATTACAGGATTTATTAAAATTATATTGACTTTTTCTTCTTTTTCATTTTGAATTTATTATCTTCTTTATGCTTCTCATTTTATTCTTTGATCTTATAACTTAAAATTTACTTTGTCTATCAAAATTATACTGTTAGCTCTATCCCCAGATTTTCTTTCCAGAGAAGAACTGGGTTCACTTAAGTTTGGCCTTGGTGATACTAATTACTGTAGAGTTCTTGGTGTTGTATGCTCCTCCTAAAACAAATAACCCTAGCCAACGACAACAATGACAAATTCCTTTTTCTTTCTGGAAAAAATAAAATTAACCTTTTCCGTTGGTATTTTATAACAATTATATCAATGATTATAAAATAAGAGATTTTTTCTTAGACCTAGTCAAAATTCATTTTTCTTTTTCTTATAAATTGTAACTATATTTCCAGCTTTTTTTAGGCCTCTAGAAATTTAATATTACTTATTTTAATAAATAAGTAGAATGTAGGATGGAAATTTCTCTATTAAAATTTGATCTAGTAAAATAAATTACAGGTTTATCTTTCTGTGAACAATTAAGTAGAGATAATGTTTAATGATAGCTTTAAGTTGTTCAGTTTTCTGGTAAAGAGGTATATTTGTTGGAAGAGGAAAACTTACTTTCCTTAAAACTTACTTCTGCTTTCTCAAGACGCATGAGATCAAAGCTTGTTTGCTTTTAGATTCTATTCTTTGCCTAACTTAGATTGTTACAGGTGGTGATAATGGAAAACATGAAGTTAAGATTTCATAATATCTACTGTATACCATTTCTTTTCTTTTAAGGGTCCAAAAGGTGAAGCAGTTGGATCTATAACTCAGCCCTTACCTAGCAGTTACCTGATCATCCGAGCCACTTCAGAGTCAGATGGTAAATAATAGATTTTGATGGAGTAGATTTTAGAACTCATTTTTAAGGGTTTATTTTATATGCCACTGTGTTTTTTTTCCTTTGGGGAAAATCTCTTTAGTATGGTATTTGCAGCAGAAGTATTATATTCATAAATTGCTTATGATACTAAAATATTATTAATTTTGTAGACAAACAGGGAAATCTGATAGGAAGAATTGTAAAGTCAAGTGACAAATTGGCAACCTAAAGTTTTCTTCATCCTCCATTGACATCTTAATACCTTTTGACTTGGCTACTGTTCTGTGTGGTAACTCTTTTAAGTATTATAATTTTAGAGGTACATTTAATATACTATTTGTGTTTTATTATACTTCGGTGGCTCAGTTGGTTGAGCATCTGACTGTTGGTTTCAGCTTATCTGGGAGATCAAGCCCTGTGTCAGGCTCCCCACTCAGCAGGGAGTCTGCTTCCCTTCTGCCCTGCCCCCCCTACTCAGGCACATGCGCAAGCGTGCGTGCTCTCTCTTTCTCAAATAATTTTTTAATTTTTTTTAATTTTTTATTTATGATAGTCACACAGAGAGAGAGAGAGGCAGAGACATAGGCAGAGGGAGAAGCAGGCTCCATGCACCGGGAGCCCGACGTGGGATTCGATCCCGGGTGTCCAGGATCGCGCCCTGGGCCAAAGGCAGGCGCCAAACCGCTGCGCCTCCCAGGGATCCCTCAAATAATTTTTTAATTAACATTTATAACACACACTGTCTTAAGGTTTTTTTTAACCTAAGAGATTCAAGTACAAACTTTTGTTCTGTATCTAGTAACTTCATAAAGAATTCTTGAAGCAATATGGAAAGCAAAACTTGCTTATGTGAAAGCAAAGCTAACTTGAAAACCTTAATAATTGATAATGGATTTCTTCCTCACTTTAATGTTTTAAAAAGCTTAGTCTAGAGGGGGGAATCTTGTAACCTTTCAAAGTTTACTTTTATCTGATGATATTTTTAAAGTTAAAATATCACGGGCACAAGCTTACATTATGAAAGTGTTTTACTTGGCTGATATTTCCAGCATATATCGAAACATATACATACATTTTAAGAGCAACTAACAGGTTTGTTTGTTTTGCTAATACAGTTCTAAATTTTAACTTAAAAAATAAAATTATTAGTGTTTCTACTAATATGTCAATTCATGACAATAAGCATTTCTATGACTTAGAAGTTTTCATACATATAAGTAGAGTGGATGGTAAACCTGGGGATAGACCTTTTATCAACAGCAAAGTATCATTTTGCTTAAGTTTGTTTATAGTAGAAACATAATTTCTTCCGTATATTTTGTGTACCTTCTTTGGTAGTTGCAAATTATACTACCTGTTACTGTTCTAAGATTTTAAAGATAAAATACGTTTATTTTAGTTTAGGTGTACTTACTAATGCATCTCATATGCTATTTATTTACCAGTGGTTTCTAGATGCTTTGTCTATAAAAAGCTCTTATTAAACTGAAAAACTGCATTTAAAAAAATCCTTGTTAGAAATTATATTCAAATTAACTTTGCCAGTCCATGTTTCTCAAAGAAATAATAGTATGCTTAAAAGTTAACAGTGTTATATTAAGATGGCTGCTGGGTTTTAGTTTCTTGAACTATACTGCTTATGAATCTGTGTTCTTCTAGGAAGGTGCTGGATGGATGCTTTGGAGTTGGCTTTGAAATGTTCTAGTCTTCTTAAACGTACAATGATCAGGGAAGGAAAGGAACACGACCTGAGCATTTCATCAGAGAGCACACATGTGACTTTGTATGGCTTATTACGTGCTAACAATCTCCATAGCGGTGACAACTTTCAGTAAGTAGCTATTGTCACTAAATTTTATAAGGGACTTTGTTGTTCCCAGGCTAGTTGGTGGGCCTAGAATTTTTGTTGTATATTTAAAATTGAACTTGGCTGTTTTCCTTCCATTATATGGCCTCAGGCCTGATTTGAGATTTGCTTAGTTGCTATTACAAGGTATAGAAAGTCATTTCCTTGATTTTAGCTAATGTGAAATAATTGTTCTTTCCCCAAAATACCTTGTCCTTGTACATGCTGTTCCCTCCATTGAGAATGTTTCCTAGCCCTCCTTGCTCTTTTCTCCTGTCACAATCCTGTTCTTCAAGACCAATCTCAAATATTACACTGAATACAAAGCCTTTCCTGCTTCATGACAGTAAGATGTAATATGTTTTTCTATTGCTGTTCCATAATGCTTTTTAATTTTCTTCGTAATGGCACTTATTCTACCTGGTATTTGTGGAATTCTATTATATTTTACCTGTTTCAAGTTGGAACTGTATCCTATTTGTGGTTTTATCCTCTGAAATATTCATTGTAGTTAACACTAAAAAAATTTCCCTAGGGAAGCTAACAAATACTTTGTTTGAGGTTTAGATCTCTTGTTGCTTTGTAGGAAAAATATTAGATTTCCCTTCTCTTCCCTTGTCCCAGTACTCAACTTCTGCTCTAAAGCTCCTTATTCCCATCAGCATTGAGGTTACTTTCCTCAAAGTTAGGAATGGATATTTGTTGGGGCCTCTTACCATGGTTTTTCCCTTGAAAGCTCTTCAGCTGTAAATAGTCCATTGTTTTTATTGAATACCAGGTAATTTTTAAATGCTTTTATTTTGGAATCCTAAAACTTCATCTGCTTCATATATTTATTCATTTAAATTTTTTTGAGCCTCTTTTCTGTTTAAGATATTATATACCTTTCTGTATTATTTACTGCATTATAGGTAAGGAGATGAATCAGATATGACCCTAAATTTGAATGCAGTACAATAATTTTCTAGCCCTGTGATCCTGAAGAGAGGTTTTATTTTGTTTGAAACCTATAAAATGCTAGACAACCATACAGGATAGGAAGAGAAGAATGACAGAAACAACCAAAGGAAAGGTGCTTTAGGGTAATACAGGATCAGGAGATTTTAGAAGATGGAAAAAGATAACATTCAGCTAGGGAATTGGGGAGGGTCAATATGACAGATTTTTACAAAGGTAAAATCAACATAGCAACCTGTTGGCTATATGACAGAACATGAGCTGAGTTGATGATGTAGACATGAGGGGAATGGGGGCCTACCTTTGAGACATACAGTCCGTTTGGATGTAAGGGACGGGGAATGGGTGTAGTTAAAGGTTACAGGTTTTAAGCCTGAGTGACTGGTAAAATCATGGTAAAATAAAAATGGACCATGATGGGAGATGATAACTATTAAATATTGGACATGTTGAGGATGCATTGGTCACAGAACACATAGATGGTATCAGCCAAGCATTTAAAAACATGGGCCTGAAGCTTATTTGCATGCATCGGCTTGAAAATCAAATAGACATGATAGTGAAGGCTTGAAATTGGCAAGCTTGCCAAAGGAGAGGGAGGATAGAGAAAATAGGAGGGCCAAGGAAGAATAAAATATCTTAAGGATAGTAGGAAGTAAGAGGGATCAGAGAGCTCAAAAAGTTGAACCATAGTAGTTGTATGGAATCCGAGCACTAAGACCATTTCGAGGAAGATGACCATCAAATCCAGTGATTCAGAGAAGTCACAGAAGATGAAGATTGGACAAGGCCATTGGATTTGTCAACTAAGCCATCTTTAAGGACCTCTAAGGGAACAGATCAGTGGATTCAAGGAAGGGAAAACTGGATCATGAGAGATTAAGGAGAGTGATAAGAAAACAGGGACAGCAATTTTAGACTACATTTTAAAAATACATGATTATAAAGGGAAAGAAAGAAAAGAAGTACTATAAAAACGAATTTCTGTTAGAGATTCTTGGTTAGGGGAGCCTGGGGCTCAGTCGTTTAAGCATGCAACCCTTGATTTCGTCTCAGGTCATGATCTCAGGGTTGTGGGATCCAGCTCAACGTCTGTCTCTGTGCTCAGCACAGTGTCTACTTGAGATTTTCTCTCTCTCTTGCTCTGTCTCTACCCCACTCACTCACTCTCTCAAATAAATAAAACCTTTAAAAAAATAAGATTCTTTAATTAAAATCCAAACAATGGAACACCAATAAAAAATAAATTTATTATTAAAATAAATAAATAAAATCCAAACAATGAATTTTTTGCATTTTTTTTAAATTTCAGAAGTGAATTTTTTAAAATTCTGTTTTGTACAAATTATTAACCCTAATTGTATATAAGAATAGGGTTGGGGGCAGCCCCAGTGGCGCAGTGGTTTAGTGCTGCCTGCAGCCCAGGGCGTGATCCTGGAGACCTGGATCGAATTCCATGTCAGGCTCTCTGCATGGTGCCTGTTTCTCCCTCTGCCTGTGTCTCTGCCTCTCTCTCTCTCTCTCTCTCTCTCTCTCTCTCTCTCTCTCTCTCTCTCTCTGTCTGTCTCTATGAATAAATAAATAAAGTCTTTAAAAAAAAAAAGAATAGGGTTGGGGTATAGCAACTTAATCAGTTTTAGGCTATAGGTTTATTTCCATAAACTGAAATTTCCATTAGCGGTTCTTGAAATTTTTTCTCAACATCAAGCCTATGAGTCAAGTATTAGAGAGAATTACTTTTTTATATTTTCACTTACTTTGACTTTGGAGAGACCTTTATAGGGGAAAAGTCATAATTCATTTCAGCTCACTTGAGAATCTAAGGATCTTAACTTGGAAGTTTTTCTTTAGACCAGAAGTGATAGTGAGATTGATTCAAGTGATGATGTTTATAAAACTAAAATAAGTCTAACAAGGGAAAAATCTAAACTTCTGCTTTTGGAAGCTTCTAGCCTTTTAGCCCTAAGTGGTAAAGAGGCAAAGAACTCGGTGTCCTCTTTTAATATTTCCCAGGTTCTTATTTAATTTCTCTATGCCTTTATTTGCTAATCTGTAAAGTGAGAATAGTAATACTACTTATAGGTTATTTTTGAGGGGTAACTGAGTAAAACTGTATGAATCACAGAACAGTGCCTGACACTTAAAATCTCAATAAATGTCACATATCATTCTGATTTATAAATTGTATATTTTTAATCTCCTTTATTCTTCCTCCTAATATTTCCTTCCCTCAAGGTTAAATGATAGTGAAATTGAACGACAGCATTTTAAGGACCAAGATATGTATTCTGATAAATCTGATAAAGAAAATGATCAAGAGCATGATGAGTCTGATAATGAGGTGATGGGGAAAAGTGAAGAAAGTGACACAGATACATCAGAAAGGCAAGATGACTCTTACATCGAACCTGAGCCCATTGAGCCTTTAAAAGAGACTACCTACACCGAACAGAGCCATGAAGAACTAGGAGAGGTAAAATCTGTGATTTTCAGACATTTTGATTTTCTAATTCTTGGGAATTTCCAAGTGAAATTGAAGACATTTCTTTGACATATCGCTTATTTTCCTGGAAGAGAATATTTTTATGATACCTATTTTATTTTGAAAATCACATATGAAACGTATCAGAATTTATAAACAGTTAAATATGTATACTTACACAAGTACCAATATAGTCTATTAAATTTAAAGTTTACATTTTCTTCAGGTTTGTTTTTGAAATAGGATAGTACTACTTGATTTCATTGCCAGGTACAATGTCAAGTGCAAGGACACATGAGCTTATAACTTTCTTGTTATTGCTAGCGCATAGAAGTAAATATAGTATAAATAGTAGCATGTGATATTTTTGTAACGAATTCTTTGTGATTATCCTTCACTTTGATGTCTCTTAACAACTATTCTTTTTGCCTAAATTTTGCGCCTATAGACTTACTACCTTATAAGTTATTTCCACGCATACTGAGAATGCTTGAGATAGTTCTGTAGCTTATTAAGATTTCAACATCAGCTGTCTTATCTACGTATCTAATATGTCTGAAATAAATATGATATTTCAGTTTTTTTGTTAATTCCTAAAGGCAGGTGAGGCTTCTCAAACAGAAACTGTGTCTGAAGAAAATAAAAGCCTCATCTGGACATTGCTGAAACAGGTCCGTCCTGGCATGGACTTGTCCAGGGTGGTTCTGCCTACATTTATTTTGGAACCTCGTTCTTTCCTGGATAAACTTTCAGATTACTACTATCATGCAGATTTCTTATCTGAGTAAGTAGATTCTCATTTTTTTAAAATGAAAAACACTTCATGGTTTTAAGAGATTTTTCAGAGGGCTAATTACAGTGGTTATGCCTTACCAAAGTCAGGCTGTAAGGAGATACCACTCTTCACTCTTTGCCGTTTCTACAGTTGATCTCGATAAGAAGAATACTTAATACTTTGCTACAATATTTCCATTTATGAAGTTGAGTTGAGAAATCACAAGCTTGAGGAAGACAGGAGTCTACCCCTTATGGACAGTACTGCTTGCTCAGGCTTCCTGACCCATTTACTGACCTAACATAGGGAGAGGTGGTTAGCATTCCTTGTCCCCTGCTCCAGGTCCACTAAGCTCTTGTTCAGGTCCCATCCTGGGGCTTGTGCTTTTGTTTATACGTATCCTCTCTGTATGCTCATGACACATGTGCAGCTTACCACAACTGGTATGCCCTGCCAATTGCTGGCTCCTTACTTTCATCTTTAGTTTTCTTTCTGCCAGCAGATCCTGGGTATAATTCTGAGGAAGACAGACATCAATATCTGTATTTAATTTAGTAATTACATTATTAGTCTGTTAGTTGCAGTAATGAACATTGCCCCCAAAAAGCATAATCTGAATCAAAAGATAATTAAGAAGCCAGGAGATTTTTTTGCCAATTAAGGCACACCCAAAGTGTTGCTTCTCCTAAAATAAAAAGGGCCCTTAGAAATTTAATGAAATGATCAGCAGCCTAATAGAAAAAGGAGAGGAGGAAATGACCAGATGGTTCAAAAATGAATAGAAACAGTCCTTAAACATGTAAATCTCACTCATAATAAGAAAACTATAGATTCAAATTATGAGCTATTATTTTTAATCCATCATAGTGACCAAAATCCAAAAGTCTTATAACCCCAGTTCTGCTTTACATCTTATTATAGTTCTTTTATCTGTCTAGAAATTTATTTCTCTCAGTATATGAAGCAGGTTCCTATGAATCACAATAAGATCTTAAGAGATTTCTATTTTCCCAAATTATTCTGGCTACACACACTGTTGCCTAGAATTTGTGAGGCAACAGGCACTTGTCCACTTCTGTTGTTGCATGATACAAACTAGCACTGTGCTTTTGAAGGGAACCTGGCAGTATTTACCAGAATTATAGATGCATTCATCCCTTTGATAAAGTAATCTTGCTTCTGGGAATAACTACTACAGATATACCTCTACACATTCAAAATGACATATATGCAAGATTGTTGCAGCAAGGCTTGTAATAGTAAAAGATCAAATAACTCAGGTATTCAGCCACAGTTGACCAGTGGTTAAATAATTATGATACATTTACACATAAGGAAGAAGTCTATAACCTGATTTGGAGGCATCTTCAGGATTATGTGTGGGTGAAAAAAGCAGGGTACAAAAAAATGGGTGTGATTTACTACCTTTTCTTTCCTTTTATTTTTTTTTAAAGATTTTATTTATTCATGAGAGACACATAGAGGTAGAGACATAGGCAGAGGGAGAAGCAGGCTCCCTGCAGGGAACTTGGTGCAGGACTCGATCCCAGGATCCCGGGATCATGTCCCGAGCCAAAGGCAGAGACCCCTCAACCACTGAGCCATCCAGGCATCCCTGCCTTTTCTTTCTTAAAAAGTGCTCTGGCTGCATAATTTTATTTGTTTTTTTATGCTTAAAACTATTTAAATAAACATAAAAAAAAGGTGCCTATATGGAGAGATGGGACAGTACCAAGATATGTACTTCATATTGCTTTGAGTTTTGAACTGTATATGCAAAATATGAAATACAATTGCATAGTAAGAGAATTTAAACCGAGGTAGGAGGAGTGCAATCAGTTGTTACTCCCAATAAGGGCAAGTTTTCCACTTGGCACAGTTGTCAGTAAGCCTAAGCCTGGTCTCTTCCATTTTACACTTCTTTTTCAGAAATCACTAGGGGTGCCTGGGTGGCTGTCAGTTTTAAGCATCTGACTCTTGATTTCAGCTCAGGTCATGATCTTAGGGTTGTGAGATTGGAACCAGCTTTAGGCTGGGCATGAAGACTGCTTAGTTCTTTCTCTCCTCCTTTCTCTGCCCTCTGCCCCACGCACACATGCACATTCTCTCTCTCTCTCTCTCTCTCTCTCTCTCTCTCTCAGGAAAAAATCACTACACTGAACTTTCAGACCTGCTTGAAGGAAATAATAGTTAAATTGTAATATACATGAAGTTGTAATATATATTTGAAAGCTTGGTAGTATTCACTTCTGACATACACAATGTTTTTTTTTTTTTTTTTTAATTTTTTTTTTATTTATTTATTTATGACAGTCACAGAGAGAGAGAGAGAGGCAGAGACACAGGCAGAGGGAGAAGCAGGCTCCATGCACCGGGAGCCTGATGTGGGATTCGATCCCGGGTCTCCAGGATCGCGCCCTGGGCCAAAGACCGGCGCTAAACCACTGCGCCACCCAGGGATCCCATACACAATGTTTTGCAGTGTTATAGCAACAGCAAAGGGGCAAGGGAGTAGCCAAGTCATGGCTTCTAAAAATTTCTTATTTAAAATGAAAATTGTTCTTTGATTATCTACTACATTGATAGAATTTATCCACTCTGGAAAATCAGTTGTTAGCACGTAGGATTGAAGGCTAAGAATAGGTTAAATCCTTTTTGATTGACTTAAATTATCTTAAAACTTTCATATTTGTGATTTGAAACTTCAGTATCTTGTACTAGAACTAAAAAGGCATACAGCCCTATTTTTAAGGGAGCATTTTGCGTGGGAGAGGTTAATATCAGCCTATGGTCCTCCATTCATGTAGGATAGCACTCACCAATTATTGTTGATCTCCTCTAATTAGCATCAGTGGCTGAAAATAGACTGAATAAAGTAGACATGATTCTTCTCTGACATAGGGAACTGAAGACCTCTAATGAAATTGTTAATGAGGCTGCTTGACATCATTCATTGCTAATGCTAGGCGGCATGCAGTACTTGAATCTCAAAATATGTTTTTTTCTTTTTCCCCAAATCATAATTTCTCATAGAACTCTTAGCAACACTTAGGGCTCTACAGAACCCCGTTTGAAAACCTTGGTTTGGAGAGTTTCCAAACACTACTTGAGCAAAGACCTGGGCAGTATATCAAACAATAGGAAAAATAGGGAGAAAAGCAACCAGATTATCAAAAGTTATTCTTACAGTCTGATTTACATGGTTGTTTTTGCCGTCTCTCTTAAATATGACTTAGGTTTTCCAGCCATATCTCGTACTCAGTTGTTTACTTGATAAATACAAGGGAGAATTTGTGATATATTTTGTGAAAGTTTTATGCATACCATTTTGTTTTTTTAGGGCTGCTCTTGAAGAAAATCCTTATTTCCGTTTGAGGAAAGTAGTAAAATGGTATTTGTCAGGATTCTATAAAAAGCCAAAGGTAATGTTTATATTTTACTTTCTTTAAACTTATATGAGTTCTTTATTTTTTGTATTTTCTTTCATTTATTTATTAATAAGCATTGATAAGCATTGACAAGGCCTCTTTGAGTTAGCAAAATTGTAAACTATTTAATCATTTAGACCTATATTGGGATTGAAATCATTTCATTTTATTTCATGTATCTACTGTGAAATTTTATAAGGATAGTTCCCAGATGACACCATTAAACCTAATTTGACTGGTTTAAACTATTTTGAATCTTCCAGATTTGTATTTTGAAACTTGTATGTTTTTTTTACCAGGGACTGAAGAAACCTTACAATCCTATACTTGGTGAGACTTTCCGTTGTTTGTGGATTCATCCCAGAACAAACAGCAAAACTTTTTATATTGCTGAACAGGTATTAGAAGTGCATGTTACAGAAACAAAACTGGTTTGGAAGTTATTGGAATATTTTAATAAAAAAATATTAACTCCGTAAACTCACTGTTAATTAACCTTTCTTATTAATGAACATTTCATAAGCATTAAACCTTTTACTACTAAATATCGTACTTATAAATATTACTATTAGTTCATGGAATCCTATGACCAAAATAAATCTTTATTTTTCCTGCATCTCCCCCCACCACCCCAGTTTTGTTTCCTTTATGACCAAAAATGTCCAGTGATCTCCTAGTTCCTAAATCAGATTTACACTCATTTGTCTGGCATTCAAGGTCTTCCATATCTTTCTAAATTAATCTCAAATTAGATATCTTTCTGAACCTTCTGTAGTAATCAGACCTGTGCATTCATAATTAGTTAACCTGATATTGCACTTTTTTGCCTCTTTATTTTAAAATTTAATTCTCCCATCCCAGTATTTCTTCTCAGGTATTCTCCATCTAAACCAACCCTGACTTGCTCCTCTTTCATGATCCAAGTGACTACATCTCCCAGTGATTTTTTCCCTTCTCAGATTTCAGTATTATTTTTTGTGACTATCCATTAAGCTGTTATTTTAACACATTATTTAGCTTTTTACAAAATATTTATTTCCTAATTGAATTCCTTGAAGGAATGCCCTCCCTATAAACCTCTCATTTTGTTTTACACATGGTAGGCAGTCAAAAATATTTCTTAGTTTTCACCTTTGATTAGGTTAGACTTATATACATTTATATTCATGATTCTCAATCTTTTCTCCTCATCCCCCTTTCCCCTTGGTCCTGAGGAATATGACATTTTTTCCTCAATAAAAATCACTTATCACCATAACAATTCTCATTGGAGTGTAAGAAGGATGAGGAAACTATGTGTCATTTGAAAAACCTTCCTCTACCCTAGAGATTTAGATATGCCTCTTAAGTGAAGACCACTCAGCTGTGTATTAATTTTTTAAAAATTATTGGTTGTACCACATTGCATTTTAGCTCACTATAATTCCTCACTGAATTGAGAAGCTTGAAAAGAGTTTGATTTTAATTTTAACTCATTTCAAAAAACCTAAGGTATTTATATATTGAAAATATTAGATTACTTAAGTAATATTTGTCAAAGCTTTTGTTTCCTATCACCTATTCAGTAATCCATATGAAGAATAGCCACTGTTTTAGTTATCCATTGCTATATAATAAGTGACTGCCAAAACTTAATGGCTTAAAACAACAAACATTTATTAGCTCCTACAATGAAGTTTAGGAATCTGAGAACTGCTTAGCTGGATGGTCCTGGCTCAGGATCTTTCATGAGAGTGCAGTCAAGATGTCGGGCATCTTTGCAAGCATCTGAAGACTTACCTGGGCTGGTAGATTTCACTTCCAAGCTTATCACATGGCTTTTGACAAGAGCACTCAGTTCTTTCCACATTGCTTCTCTATACGGTTATTCACAACGTGCAAGCTGGCTTCTCAGACCTAATGATCTGAGAGAGAGAGACATCAAAATGGATAGTGCATTATAACTTAATTTCAGAAGTGACATGCTGTTACTTTTATACAAACTAACTTTGAAACAGTGTAAAAGGAGCACCTCTCATGACTAATGACATGAATACCAGGAGGTGGTTTCCTTGGGAGATATCTTGGAGGCTGTTTACTATAATCATCAATGTTTAATTTTACCACTTACCAAACATTACTTCTTCTTATTAGAGTATACTTTTAAGACGTGAAATTTTGGTAATAGCACAATAATATGTTTGTTATTATATTTTACATTTTTTTCTTGTGTTCAATAGGTGTCCCATCATCCACCAATATCTGCCTTTTATGTTAGTAATCGAAAGGATGGATTTTGCCTTAGTGGGAGTATCCTGGCTAAGTCCAAGTTCTATGGTAAGTTTCTCCTTTTTTCAATCTGCACCCTTTTCTGGAAGGTAGTATTCTCTGGTGAGGTTTTCTATAGACAATTCTTGGGCTGTTTTTAGTAAGGAATTTATGTATCATTTTAAGTATCATCCTCACTTGGATAATGGCTTTTCCTTTTTGTGTTTCTCTTTGCCCATTCGTAAGTCTAATTCATAAATATGACCCATTTTGTGTAAGTATGCATCACGTATGTGTAAATTCATGGGAAACACCACTTATCCAAAAGACAGAATGATTGACCACTTTAGCTACTTTAGCTCATAATGTGTTTATTTTACCTTTAGTTCCACTGAGGTCTTTTGTTCCATCTTATTATACTTGAGGGCTTGATCATTCTATTTAGTCTTTAAATAGAGAAAGAATGCAGTTAAAATCCTTGGTCTAGGGTTAGTCAATAATGATATTTAATCTTGGACCAAATAACATACAAATAAAAACTTTTGTTAGTACAAGGGAAAATAGAGAAATATGGTTATGGTAGGAAACTATAATCTAAAAACTATGACAATTCAAACAAATGGCCAGAGCTATATACCAGGAGAAGTATTTAACCTTAAATACTTTTTTTTTTAAGATTTTATTTGTCAGAGAGAGAGAGAGAGCACAAGCAGAGGGAGCAACAGGCAGAGGGAGAAGCAGGCTCCCCGCTAAGAAGAGTCCTGTGCAGGGCTGGGATCATGACCTAAGCCAAAAATAGACCCTTAACCAACTGAGCCACCCAGACATCCCTTTTATTTGTTTTTTCTTAATTAATTTTTAAATGGAGAAAAATCAGTTATTTAAATTTTAAACCTGAGAGAAAAACATAATTATGATAAAATTAGAAAAATATAAGAACAGAAACCAAGGGTCTGGTTACCTGATAGAGTGGAGAACCATAGATAAGTCTGTAACAGGGAAATCTAAAAATAGCTTTTTTTTTTTAAGATTTTATTTATATATTCATGAGACAGAGAGAGAGAGAGAGAGGCAGAGACACAGACACAGAGGGAGAAGCAGGCTCCATGCAGGGAGCACTGACATGGGACTCAGATCAGGAACAAGGCAAAAATGTTCACTCTCACTATTTTGTACAAAATTGTATTAGAAGTCACAGCCAATGCAACAGACAAATTAAAGAAAAAGCATACAGATTAGAAAGGAGAAAGTTAAAAACCATATACAGGGGCACCTGGGTGGCTCAGTGGTTGAGCATCTGCCTTAGGCCCAGGGCATTGACCCCAGGGTCCCAGGATTGAGTCCCGCATCAGGTTTTCCACACGGAGCCTGATTCTCCCTCTGCCTATGCCTCTGCCTCTCTCTCTCTCTGTGTCTCTTGTGAAAAGATAAATAAAATCTTTAAAAAAAAAAAAACAAAAAACATATACATACCTGATCTATACAGATAATTCTTAAGAACATATAAAAACTACTAGAACTAATAAATGAATTTAGTAAGGTTGCTGGATACAAGGTCAAAATACAAAAAGTCCATTGTATTTCTATACAGAATGAAATTTAAAAAACACCTCCAATTATAATATGTGGAAAAAAATATTTAGGAATAAAGTAAAAGATGTGTAAGACTTAGACACTGAAAAACTACAGAGCATTGCTGAGGAAAATTGAGGATTCATGTAAATAGATATACTATATTCATATATTAGATTTTTTAAATTGTTACAATGGCATGAAGTGTTGATACAACAGCATGGATGAATGTGAAAAACACTTTGCTAAGTGAAAGAAGTCAAACACAAACTATTTATTCTGTGATGCCATCTGTACAAATAGAACTACCATGATAGAAACCAGACCAGTGGTTTCCTGGGGCTGGAGGAAAGGATTGACTGCCAAGAAGCAAGGGGGAGCTTTTTGGGGTAACACAAAGTTCTGCATCTTCATTGAGGTGGTGATGATGATGGTTACATGACTGTATACAGTTGCCAAGATTGTCAATATACATACTTAAAGTGGATCACTTATAGTAGGTAAATTATGCCTCAATAAAATGTGATGAGAGGCAAGAATTCTCATGGGAGAAAAGCTAGAAGAAAATACATTGGAATTTTATCATCAATTGCATTTTGATAGGTTATGCTTATGTTTTTTTCTAAATTATCTATAGTATTTTATCAATTTTAAGTACTAAAAGTAACTATGTAACTTATAGATAAGAAATAATGTTTTTATTCAAACATAGATATGTTATTAAGCCATACCATAAAACAGTGTTTTACTGCATGTTCTACATGATTAAGGTTTTTAAGAGCCTCATGTAAAATAACTTAACAAGCACATAACTGTACCTTTTAAAAGTACTCATTTTGTAAGGCTAGGAATATGGGTCACATAGTTTTGGATATAACAGATACACAGATTGAGATTGAGACATTTTTAAGATGTATGGCAGGTATCTTAAGTATATTTTGTTTATTTTGAATTGGTTGCATTAGTTTTGTGAAATGTAATAAATGATATTTATTCTAGGAAACTCATTGTCTGCAATATTAGAAGGAGAAGCACGATTAACTTTCTTGAATAGAGGTGAAGATTATGTCATGACAATGCCATATGCTCATTGTAAAGGTAAGTATTTTCCATACTTGAGTTAGATATTCTGTAAGCCTTTTTAAGTAAATGTATATGGCTGTAATTTCTTGTGTTTTGTGATTGATAGAGTCAACCTTTTGTTTGAAAGTGTCCTTGGTTTATAGATATATTTAAGATTATTGTTGTCATCTACTGAATGTTTCTGTGGCAAATTAATTCACTCACAATGGACTTTTTATGACACATACTTCAGCTGGAAGAGGCTGATTTATAATAATGGAATTTCATTTAGCTAATATGCAGGATTTAAAATTGGTGAAACTGCCATTATTTCAAAATCCTTAAAAGTGATTTTCAATTTTTTTGTACCACCACCCTTTTTAAGACGTTAATTCACTGCTTTTCACTATACTGAGTCCTTTAAAAATTTTTTCTTATACTCGGCAATTTCTTAAAAACCAACGGTATACTTTTTCCCCATTATTAAGGATACAGATAAAGATACTGTCATTTATAACAGACCAGGGACCCAACCATTCTATGTACCTTACATTTATAAACTCATTAATCATTTCAGCAGACCTGTAAAGTAGGTGGAGTGTCTGTTTCTGTTTTATGAATATGGAAAATGAGGCACACAGATGTTAATTTGCCTGAGATATCAGACCTAGGATGTTGCAGAGTCAAGATCTCTGTGACCTGCACTATTATGCGTGTGCTTCAATATTCAGTTTGTTCATTATCTGTATACTCCTTTCCAACCCATTTTTTAAAAATAACTTTTTGGGGTAATTATCCTCTTTTAGGAACTGATTCATGAAAGCATGGAAATTATTTAATGTGGCCTCATTTCACAGGTGTAGAAACTGAGAAAGTTAAGAATCTTCTCTATGGTCAAACCAGTGAGAACTCTGAAACTAAACTCCCATCCAGTGTAACATGGGACCTACCTTGTTTGAAGTACAAGAGTAGGGGCACCTGGGTGGCTCGTGGTTGAGCATCTACCTTTGGCTCAGGGCATGATCCCAGCCGAGGTCCTGGGATTGTGTCCCACTTCAGGCTCCCAGGCTCCCTAGGAGCCTGCTTCTTCCTCTGCCTTATGTTCCTGCCTCTTTCTGTGTGTCTCATGAATAAATAAAGTCTTCAAAAAAAATAAATAAATAAAAGTACAAGAGTAGCCACCTTGTGGCTTCAGGCTAGATAATTCTTAGAGCTTCATGTATGGTTTTTAAAATAGGCATGAAGTGAAATATCTGAAATCATGAACTAAATTGATAAGAAACATATTTTAACATATTTACATCATATAGAATAAAGAAAATGATATTTTATGTAGATACCTAATGCCAGTATTTTCTAGCATGAAAAAAAAAAGAAATTATAATAGCTCTTGTGAATGAGCATAGGAAATAATGATTGTTTTCTACCCTTGTGTATTTTCTAAGATGTGTTCCTCAAATTCTTAATCTCACAAATTGTTTTACACCTTCCATAGCCAAATAAGTATGAGACACACTGCATAGTCTGGTCCCCACTTGGAAGTTAACATTGTGCTCTTGTATATTAAAGGCTGCCGTAACAGTTTAGTTCAAGAACAGATCACACGTGTACATGCACACACACACACACTTGCACACACACACACACACACACACACAAACTTTAACAAAGGTAAATGAATTTTCTCAACTTTAAGTCACAGAACCTCTTGAGGGGTTTTTTTTTTTTTACATGTTTGTCTTACTTTTACAGTTGATTCTTATGATGAGCAGTAGTTATGTTCCATAAAGTCACCACAAACACATTTTAATGAACTAAACCATTGCTCCCAGGGGAAACACAAGATTAGTTTCCTGTGAGTCACCTCTTCATCAACCAATCAATATATAACCTTGTTTCTATTTAAAAACACCTTACTGTATATCATTGATACAGTAACATAGAACTGACAGCCAACAGCACTATGACTGATGCCTGAACCAAGCTTTAACACACCATTTTCTCCATAAGGTACATTATAGCCTTCTGTGCTTAGGAATGCTAGGCAGCCCTTTAGCACTACAGTTGAGGTCATTTTATACTATAAAATAGCAACAAAAATCACCAAACTGTGAAAAATGTGGCACTTACATATACTGCAAAAAAGGCACTTGTTTACCTGGGATGACATCAGGAGGACATGTTACCTTGTTCAGCCTCAATTGGCAATTTGCACATGGGAAAACTCAGATTTTTCACTCTTTGCATGTCCATGGAAGACTACAAAGGTGCTGTGGATGTTTATTTGGGGATTGCTAACATGTTTTAGTAAGAATGTGAATTCACAGATAATTTGATCTACAAATGGAATGGAATCTGCAAATAATTGTATCCTCTGTTACCTATTTAAGTCCTACAGAAACAACTTTGTCTGTTTCAGATTTTTATTGGGTGGGGACAGAATACACTTGAATTATTGTTCTCTCCTAGAAGGAGAGTAGATTGAAAAGTTCTGCTTGTCTTTTTTTTTAAATGTTTATTTATTTATGATAGTCACACAGAGAGAGAGAGAGGCAGAGACACAGGCAGAGGGAGAAGCAGGCTCCATGCACCAGGAGCCCGACGTGGGATTCGATCCGGGGTCTCCAGGATCGTGCCCTGGGCCAAAGGCAGGCGCCAAACCGCTGCGCCACCCAGGGATCCCATGTTCTGCTTGTTATTAGCTAGTATCTCTCTTCAACCTTTTGTCAAAATTGTTTTGTTTTTTCCTTTAGGAATTCTTTATGGCACAATGACACTGGAGCTTGGTGGAATAGTCAATATTACATGTCAAAAAACTGGATACAGTGCAATACTTGAATTCAAACTAAAGGTTAGTACAGATAGAAGGTATCACCCAATTTAAAGAGGATCTGTGCTATTAATATTGGACAAAGAGCCCAGTTTAGTTCCTTCATTAAAAAACTAATTTAAGAGCACAGAGCTCATCAGAGGGCAGCCTTGGCAGATCCAAATCAACAGAAAGCCATCATTTTTTGTTTATTGATTTTAATTGATAAAACTATTGGTATTTTATGGAAGATGAGATCTATGAAGTGAATGGATAGAAATTTCTCAGTAAATTAAAACATTTCTTTACAAAATACCACAAAGTATATATCAGCTAGAGCTAAAGTTGTATACATTAAGAATTGTATTGTTTACTATTTCTGCCTAATAATTTACTCAGACTCACAGCCTTGAAAACAACCTTGCTCTGATCTGTGGTAGTTCTATCAGTTGGGAACTTAGAGCATATTGGGGGTAGTTTATCTCTTCTACATAATGTTTGGGGCCTCAGTCAGGAAGACTTGCAGGTTGTGAGTGGCTCAACAGTTGGAACCAGAGTTATGTGAAGGCTCATCACTTACATGTCTTGTGCTGGGGTTGGGACAACTTAAAGACTAGGACTGCTGATCTGAGCACCTGTACATATGGCCCTTCCATGTGGCTTGGCTGCCTCTCAGCATAGCCGCTTCAAGATAGACTTCTTATTTGGCAGCTCACAGTTCCAAGTGCAAGTGTTTTTGTGAACAAGGTGGAAGCTGCATTGCTATTCATGATTTGGTTGCAGAAAAGTCAAATGCCATCACTTCTACCATTTTTGATTAGTTGAAGAGTTATAAGCCCACCTAAATTTAAGAGGAAAGGATGTAGACCCCACTTCTCAATGGGAAGATGGCCATCTTTGGAAAATTTTGTCTGCCTCTAAGTGAAAGGGAAATGTATGACCTTTTCCATGTAGCAGTTATTGGTATAGGACAATACAATATGTCCAGATAAGAATATTTCTATGAACTGTATGATATTTGTTACTAAATTTCTCCTGTTTTGATATCCAGCTGATCAACTTTGTTCTGATAAAAAGTATCAGAAGTAGTATTTGGTACAGTGCCCTTTTTTCCTTAATCTTAGCAAATTTTTTGATTATGTGGTGATAATGATGTCTGAAAATCATGGCTAAAGATGTCTTAAGTAATTTTCCACACCTGTAAGGGTGTCACTGACGAGAGACATCAGTAAGGCAATATATAGAAACTCAGTGTATTCTTTCTAATGTAATTTTTGGAGGATTTTTTGATAAAGTTTTGTTTTACTGTTTTGTTTCAAAGGAAGGACTATTATTCTAATAGGTAAATTAAGTCCCTCAAGTCCACTGAATTTAAGCAGTAGCTTAAATAGACTGCAACATTGATGGACCATGGTTGAGTCAGAAGGGCACACAGGGCATGAGTCATCATTTGTGATCTTTCTCAGTATGTGTATTTGGACATCACACAGTCTGTTTTTACCTTTATTTTCCACAGCAACAGATTCCAATTTTTTTCATTGAACATTTCTGACTAAAATTTGAGTCAGGATTTCATCCTCTTTGCCTTCAAGAACTATACCATTACTTCTTTCATTCCTTTTTGTCTATATTATATGTAAATAGAAGTTTAAAGCAAAATATTTCTGTAATGTTTTTTCTTTTAAAAGCCATTTCTAGGTAGTAGTGACTGTGTTAATCAAATATCAGGGAAACTTAAATTGGGAAAAGAAGTCCTAGCTACTTTGGAAGGCCATTGGGTAAGTATTTTTGTATTTTCTCTTGACAAGAAGACTGTATTCTGTGAAAAAAAAATTAAAATAACATTTTATAAGTTCACTTATTCCACTGCTCAAAGCATCATTCAACATAAGCTTCAGCCTAACCAGTATTATTATAGCATTGATCTATCATCAACAATATTTAGTTTCATGTAATACTTTATCTTTCCAAGACTTTATTTCAATAAAAATACTAACATTAAAAAAAATACTAACATTTACCACTTATAATGTACTGCACTGTTTAAAAATGTTACTCAGGGGGTCCCTGGATGGCTCAGTGGTTTAGTGCCTGCCTTTGGCCAAGGGCGTGCTCCTGGAGACCTGGGATCGAGTCCCACATCGGGCTCCCTATGTGGAGCCTGCTTCTCCCTCTGCCTGTGTCTCTGCCTCTCTCTCTCTCCTCTCTCTCTGTGTCTCATGAATAAATAAATAAAATATTTTAAAAATAATAAAATAAAGATGTTACTCGTATTAACTCATTTAATACTTAATAACTATATGAAATGGGTACTGTTCCTGTCTCCATTTTATAAGGAGAACACTGAGGCACAGAGTTTAATTTGCTCAAAGTGAGGGCAGCCTAGGTGGCTCAGCGGTTTAGCACCGCCGTCAGCCACGGGCATGATCCTGGAGACCCAGGATCGAGTCCCACATCGGGCTCCCTGCATGGAGCCTGCCTCTTCCTCTCCCTCCCTATGTCTCTGCCTCTCTCTCTCTCTCTCTCTCTCTCTGTCTTTCATGAAAAAATAAATAAAATCTTTTTAAAAATAATAATAATAATTTGCTCAGGGATCCCTGGGTGGCGCAGCGGTTTAGCGCCTGCCTTTGGCCCAGGGCGCGATCCTGGAGACCCGGGATCGAATCCCACGTCAGGCTCCCGGTGCATGGAGCCTGCTTCTCCCTCTGCCTATGTCTCTGTCTCTCTCTCTCTCTCTATCATAAATAAATAAAAATTAAAAAAAAAATAAAAAAAAATAATTTGCTCAAAGTGATGGGACAAGAATTACAGCCCATGTTCTCTGGCTCCAGGGTTGTGTTTCTATTCAGAGCAGTATACTGCCTCTTACCCAGAAGAATTACATTTCCTTTTGAGGAACATGAAAAGGATACAGTGGCATTTGAGAGCAATGGTGTTGATTTATTTCTCTACTGATACAAATTCACATTTATATAATTTTGTTAAGAGGAGCTTAAATGAATAAGAAGGCTATATCACAGTACTGCCTAGATGCATTCTCACTGTGAACACTGCTATTTTCTGCATTATAAAAAAGCGTATTAATGATTTGAGAAAATGGGGTGCGTGATAAATGAAAACTGGGTGCGGGTGCGTAGAGACTCAACCTAAAGGCACATATGCTGGAGACGGGTCTGGGGTTTTAGGGTGGGCTTTGATGGTTCTATCGAAGATGCGGTTATTGTTGAAAAAATATAAAACGTGGGGTTTTAAAAATTGAAGTTTCGGGGTGGAGCGATAGTTGGGGGGCAAATTTTGAAGGGTAAGGGCTGTTGGGCGAGGGGTGGGTGTGTGTGTGTGTGTGTGTGTTATATATATGATATATAATTGTATGTATGTGGTAATCTAATAGCATTTCATTGGTCATGCTCTAGCTATTAACTCTACGCTGTATAAATTCAGACATGGTGGTTGAGGGGTTTCTGCATGGGTTTGGCTTGAAAGTTATGGTGGGGGATCAGACTTGTGGGGGCTTGCTATTGACTCGGGGGGGGGGGGTGGTTAACCAAATTGGGGTGTTATGGGTCTGAGTAAGGAGTTGACTGTTATTGTAATATAATGGGGGGTGTTTAAAATGACAAGAGATGTTGGGGACTTTTAGAAAGGTTTGCCAGATTGTCATTTGTTGTAAAAAATGTGTTGTTGTACACCATGGGGATAAAGGATTCAGAGAAGTTATGTAATTGTAGTATTATGATTATAATATTTTAGTTTAAATTACTCCCTTTTAAGTACATGAAATCTTAGCTCGCGTCTAGTAAAAATTTTTTTATTTATTTTATTAAATATTGGATAGTTGATAGTTTTATATTAATGACAATAAACATGATTAATTCAGAGGTTTTCTGGATAACCACAACACCAGACATTAAGCAGTGGTGAGTTTGTTGGAATGGGTTAATTGGGGTAAGTGTGATGGGTTGTTGGGCTTTCACCTGTGTTTGTTGGTTGGCTTTACTCGGGGGGGAGAAAGGCTTTGGTTTTGTGTTGGATGGGGGGGGTTTGATAGCTTGTGGGGGGTCTTAGGGGGACGCGGCCTCGGGGGACATGGATCATTGTAATTTATAGCAAATTAATGTAACTTTCTGGCAATGTGACGGTAACTTTTGGGGGGTGGGGTTTCGAGAATATCGGGTTGGGGATTTTTTATGGCTTTGATGTAGGGGGGGGGAGGCTGGGGTTATTAGTTTTACGGGCACTGGGGGGGACCGGTGAGGCGATAGGGCCCTATTTATTGTAAATAGTCTGCTTGGTATTAATTATCATGGGGTCTTTTTATATATTACTCTTGGTTTTCAAAAATTTAAGAATCTGGTCACAGGTTATGACAGGCCTTCGTCAGTGGTATGTTCTGGAGTGGGGTTGTGTTTTGACATGTGGTTAGGGTGTCAGCTAGTTTTGGAGGGAGGGTTAGCGGTGTCGGTGGGTTACATTTTTGTTGGGGGTATGGTACGGACCAGGGCGTGGCGGTGGTGTAGGGACGGGGTGGGTGTGGGGGATGGGGTTATGGTACCGCACACCTGAAGGGGTCGGGTGTCTGGGGTGTCTGGTACTCGTCAGGGGGCTTAATGCGTATCATTCTCTGTCATGGGGATTCATGTCTGTGTGCTTTTCCTATACATTTAAAATTGAGGTTGTCAAAAATGAAAAAATATGTATGTACCAGTTCTAAAAATTGTTTCAGCTGTAACCACGATGCTCTCTATCAAGAGGGAAGCTTTGCCAAGGCAGACAACAATTTCTGAGGTGTGAATATAATTTAACATATTTTAAAGATGAGATGAGTTTTAGGATAAGTAACTTTTAGTTCACCAGCCAAGAATTCAACCCAACTCTATCTGATTCCAAAGTTTGTATTCTTTCAGTCACAACATGCTGTTTTCCCAGGTTGGTGGGATATAGATAGTATATTTTTATTTGTCTTATAAAAGACCAAACTTCAGTAGGGGAAAAGATTTTACCTCAGTCTTTTCTTATTAGATCATTAGTTCTCAACATTGGCTACACATTAAGATCACCTGGAAAACATTTTTAAAAACAATACCTGAGCCCATCCCCAAGATTTTGATTTTAAAAGTTCCTGGTGATTCCTGCATCCAACGGTGAGAAGCATGGCATTACAGTATTGTATCTTTGAGGCCAGTAAATTTTAAACAGTGATACAAATCATCCAGGGAGCATAAAGATACAGATTGTTGAGCCTTCATTACATTCTTAACTAGTTTCTGGTCAGTACCATTTATTGTCATGTTTAGGAACCCAGGTAATAACTCCCTACTGGCAAGAAAAAAATTGGTCTCCACTGTGATCTCTCAAGGCACCACTCTTTATATTCTCACTCTTTCTAAGCCTGTAAGCATAAGCTCTTTGCAAAGCCAAAAACCCACATGGGCACACCATTTTCTCTCAAGGGAATTCAAGTCTATTCTATGTAAATTTGATTTGCTTTTTTAATGCTGTTTGTATACATCTACTAGACTCTGGCAGCGGGTAACTCGAGCCATAAATGCCAAAGACCAAACAGAAGCTACTCAAGAGAAGTATGTTTTAGAAGAAGCTCAAAGACAAGCTGCCAGAGATCGGAAAACAAAAAGTGAGGAGTGGACATGCAAGTTATTTGAACTTGATCCACTCACAGGAGAATGGCATTACAAGTTTGCAGAGTAAGTATATACAAAGAATATACCAACATAACTTTTTGCCTTTATTTCTATAATTTTTACAGTTGGGTAGTTTTTCATTAAGCCATATATATAAATTGGTATGAGATTTTAAACTTGATGTTCTATTCATCATAAATTTGACTCCATGAGAGTAGTGTACAAAATAAGCTGAGAATTAGATTAGATATGACAAATATTAATCTTATAACTAGGTTCATAATTGCTAATAAAAATCTAATTATAGAATACATTTTTGGAAAAGTACTTGAGTGTTTTGTTATTAATCAAATGGGTTTGTTTGTTTGTTTGTTTTAATTTATGCAGTACTAGACCATGGGACCCACTTAATGATATGATACAGTTCGAAAAAGATGGTGTTATCCAGACCAAAGTGAAACATCGCACTCCAATGGTATGTAATAAAAACATGACAAGATCTATTAGGCATATAAATATTTTTAAAAGATTCATTTATTTTAAATATTTTTATTTATTTATTCATGAGAGACACAGAGAGGCAGAGACATAGGCAGAGGGAGAAGCAGGCTCCCTGGTTGAAGCCTGATGCAGGACTTGATCCCAGGACTCCAGGATCACACTCTGAACCAAAGGCAGATGCCTAACCACTGAGCCACCCAGGTGCCCCTATTTATTTAGTTTTTAGAAAGAGAGAGCGCAGGGATAAGGTACAGAGGAGAGAGAGAGAGAGAATCTCAAGAAGACTCCATGCTGAGTGTGGTGCCTGACTCAGGCCTTGATCCTACAATCTATGGATCATGACCTGAGCCAAAACCAAGAGTTGGACCCTTAACCCATTGTGCCACCCTGGCGCTCCTGGCATACAGATTTTTTAAGCCTTTAGTATCTTTTGCTACCAGTGTTTAAAATTTAACTGCAAAATTTAAAATTTGAGGGCACCAAAATCACAGGATATGCAGCTCCAAGCTCTATCCCTTCAAAGAAACAAAAAAGCAAGCAAAAGGTGTCAGAACCAAATTTGCCAGAACTATGGAAATAGAGGTTTGCAACCACAGAGTGCTAAATCAAGAAGGAGGTGACTTTAAAGCCATAGGAAAGCTTTATAGTATTTTTACTTGCCCTTGTCCCAACTCATCATTGGTGCTCTAGTAGTTTTTAAGGGTCCCCACAGTCCCAATGTGAACCCTGGTTCCAGAGGGGAGCATAGCAGACCTTATTCACCAATTGTTTATGTCTGTTGTGACCTCTGGGAGTGGGGGCTGGGGGGTGGGGTGGCTATCTAAAGGATTCTTGCAGGGCAAGCATCTCTGTTTTCGCTAACTCATAGCTCAACCAGAAAGGCTGCAAGGCATTGCTTGGAAGTCCTGTGAACCATACAACCTTCACATTCCTGGGGCAAAAGATTACCATTGAAACAATACAGTAGACTATGTAAGGCCTGAAACAAAAGCTGGGGAGAAATTCTTTGGGAAACTAGGGAATCAGATATTTTAGAAAACCATGGAAATGTCCAAGGCAAAATGCTTATGCTCAGAAAAGACCTGCTCAAGCCTGGCTTAGTATTGAAAGAGGGCTGCTACAGAGCCAGTCTCATAAGACTGGGAGAGTGTTTTTTGTTCTTGTCTTTTGTTTTTGTTTAGCTACTGGTATTCAAGGAAGCTTCTGTCAGAATGCTCGCTGAACGCAAGCTAAGAAACAGATTTCAGTAACCATGAACAAGACGTACAGTCTTTGTAAAAACAATTTAGGGACTTCACTGAACAAATGGAGTACTATGGATTTCATCAGTCCAGAAGACCACAAGCCCAGGGGAAGGTGGAGAATTTAATATCCTGAATTACTTCATTATAACAATCAGATGTCCGGTTTTCCATAAAGAATTACAAGGCATAAAAATAAGCTTGAAAGCATGACCCAGTAAAAGGAACAAAGTAGACAGAAACCATCCCTGATGAAATCCAGACACCAGACTTAGCAAACAGAGTTTTTAGAACAGTTGTCTCAGATGTGCCCACAGAGTTAAACAGGAACAAAAAACCAAAGGAAACCAAGAAAAAGATATATAAACAAAATTAGAATATCAATAAAGAGAAATTATACCAAGAAACCAAACAAATTCTGGACCTCAAAAATAGAATAACTAAAGTCAAAAAGATGTTACTAGGGACTGAGGGGAAGAGCGAATGGGAAGTCATTGCTTACAGTCTCTCTCCCAAAAATGTTTCACAAGTAGCTGTGACATTTGGACAATATTGTGAATCTATTTAATACAACTTGATTGTACACTTAAAAATGGCTAAGATGGCAACACTTATATATATGTATATATATATATATGTGTATGTATATATATATATATATATATATATATATATATATATATATATAATCTGTACACACACATGTTTTCCCTATTTAGAAATTGTAGAACATTTTAGGAGCACCTGGGTGGCTCAGTCATTTAAGCATCTGACTCTTGATTTCAACTCAGGTCATGATAAGATTGAGCCCCATGAATAAAAAAAATAGTGTAAGGGAATAAAGGGGAAAGGAAAGAAAATGAGTGGGAAATATCAGAGGGAGACAGAACATGAGAAACACCTAACTCTGGGGAACGAACAAGGGCTGGTGGAAGGGGAGGTGGGCGGGGGGACGGGGTGACTGGGGGACGGGCACTGAGGGGGGCACTTGAGTTGAGCACTGGGCGTTATGCTATATGTTGGCAAATCGAACGCCAATAAAACTATATCCAAAAAAAAAAAATTGAGCCCCATGTCTGGCTCCACACTGGGCATGGAACCTGCTTAAGATTGCTCACTCACTGGCTCTCACTTTCTCTGTCTCTCCCCAAATCTCTTTCTCTCCCTCTCTAAAAAAAAAAAAAAAAAAAAAAAAGTAAAACATTAAAAATTTTTGTTTCTTCCTTTAACAGTACTAACATGATAGAGACACATATGGCATCTGTATTTTCTCTTAAAAGTAGAGTTTACGGAGAGGTAGATTGTCATTTTAAATACTTCTCACCAGTCTTCATCAGTCTCCAATTTGAGCCTATTCTGAGAATGTGGATTTGGATTCTAAAGTTATAATGTTCAATCTCTATCACTTGAAGTAGGAGGGCATTGTGTAGACCGAATCTAGAACCTACCAGCTCATTGTTTATTTTCTATAATAAAATTATAGAAATTTAATTACAGTCTTTTGAATAAGATTTTGCAAAAGAGGAAGTTATTGGTGGATAATTCCTATTTAGAAAAATAAGCAGAGGGCAGCCCCAGTGGCTCAGTGGTTTAGCGCCGCCACCTTCGGCCCAGGGTGTGATCCTGGAGACCCAGAATCAAGTCCCATGTCGGGCTCCCTCCATGGAGCCTGCTTCTCCCTCTGCCTGTGTCTCTGCCTCTCTCTCTCTCTCTCTGTGTTTCTCATAAATAAATAATAATAATAAAATCTTTTTTTTAAAAAAATAAACAGGTATGAATAGAACCCAAGAGTTATGATGACTGTTTCCCTGTTTTTCTCAGCATATAAATTACCTTACCCTTTAGATTCCAGTGTCTTCTCTTGAATTCGAGTTTTTAACCTTAGGATTGACCTCCAAAATTGCAAGCCTATTAATAGAGTAGAATCTAAAGTACATTATTCTAAGACAAACTTTATACTACTTGATCGTTTGATACACTTCTGAATCTTGTGCATGCATTCAAATGGTTTGTATAGATTTAAATCCTGCTCTGCAAAATAGCACTTCCGTTTCTTATAAGATGCTTTCTACATTATCCAGATATTATTAAAACTAAAGATTTTATGGGAAACCCAACATCGTTCAATGGGAATGCTTCTAATGTTGAGAACAAGATAGATATGATTGAAAGAAAGCACTGTTACTTGACATTGAACTAGAGATACTGACTGGTGCAGTGAGAAATATGAGGGGAATGGGTCTATATTCATATTTGTGTGTACATGAAAATGTCTCTTGGAGGATATACAAAGTAATAGTAATATCTATTTTGTGGCAGGGAAACTGAGTTGATAGAGCTCAGGAGTGAAGAGAAACTCTTCATTGCATGCTTTTAAAAATATTTTTGTTGTTTGTGCCAAATTAATGTTTCCTATTACAATTTAATAATTTGATTGAGCATATCACATAGTTTGTTAAGTTTTAGACTATTTCATCTTTGTTTTTATTTCAATGTGCTGTATCCATGAACAGATAGTTTTGACAGTCATACAGCGTTGTTCTTTAATTACAAAATTCACTGCAAATTCACATAGTATGGATTTTTTCAGGTTAGTGTCCCCAAAATGAAACATAAGCCAACCAGGCAACAGAAGAAAGTGGCAAAAGGCTATTCTTCCCCAGAACCTGATATCCAGGACTCATCTGGAAGTGAAGGTAAAAATATTTACTGCATACTATTCACTCTAAGCATCTAAACTTTTAAAAGGATGTTATGGTATTATGTTTAATATAGGAAAAGTGTTTTTCATATTAACTCAAGAAGATGATGGGAGAGTTTGGGTAGGGATAGAGATGGTATGCAAAAAAAGTTGTTTTAGATTATAGATAAGTTTCAAGACCAGGCCACAAAGGAAAGGCAAGAGAAAATATGCAAATCAAGAAACACTTTGTAGTACTAGCTCTTATGTCTCATTAGCCTCTGAAAAATTATTGATAGTTTCCTAACTCCATGCAGGATGCATTTTTTGAGTTTTGAACTTAGGTCCATGCTTCAAAAATTTTTTTTCCTTTTTAGAATAAGTTCTCATAGTGTTTAGAAGTCACAGACAAGTAAAAATACAACTATCAAAATTACGGACTGAATTAACTAGTATGCCATTCTTGTTCAAGTCAGATAATGTGTAAAATGTCTTGAATTACACTGAGATAGAATCAAGAAAGAATTAAGGTAAAGTCTGAGAAAATTGTTTTTAAAGCCATAGTTCTCTGCTAAGCTGGTACTAAGCTGAGGAGCTAATTTTTACAGAGATAACGCAAGAGGTGAATAAATGATAAATGCCACGAAATGAGTAGACACCAAATAATAGTTTAAAGGAGAAACAGCTGAATTCAGTTTGAGAAAGGTTCTTAGAGGAACCTTGATGAATAATCAGGATTTATAATGGATTACAGAAATCTAGGCTTGAGGGATTTGGGTGGTGGGCAAAATACTGGTGTAAAAGAGGAATAAAATCAATAAAAGTTTAAAAGTAGGAGTCACCACGATACCAGTGTGCTTCAGAGGGGAGTATTGGTTATACTGTTTTGTTCCCATTTTACAGAAAAGGAAATTGAGACACAGGCTAGCTAGCCTGCCCCAAGTCACATACCCCATGAGGCTGTATGTATATATAACATATACAGATATTTTAGTTCCTTAATGCACTCTTACCCACTCCACTGTTCACCTGTAATTTACCAGCTGACATTCATTGGGTACTTAACTCGTGTCAAGCAAGATGTTTAACACAATGTACTACAATCATGTGAAGTCTGAGTAGTGTTATTATAATTCCTGTTTTACAAATGACAAAGCTGAGACCTGGAGAGAGGTTAATATATGAACAGAAACAAAAAGGAAGGAATGGCTATGAGAGATTTGAAGGGGAAAAAAATACGATGTACTGGTTGACAGTAAAAATTTATAGAAAAGGTTGCAAAACCAACCAAAAATATTTAAGTTTTAGGTGACTAGGGAAAGATAACATTATCAATGAAACATGAAAGGGGGACTCAAAAAGCTGACTCCCTCAGATGTAGGCAAATAGACAAGAGATAGAAGAGTAATGCAAAAGAAAAAGAGAGAGAGAGAGTAATGCCTTCCCCCAAATTAATATATGTTTTTAATAAATTATTTTTGTCGGGACACCTGGGTGGCTCAGCGGTTAAGCGCCTGCCTTTGGCCCAGGGTGTGATCCTGGAGTCCCAGCATCAAGCCCCACATCCAGCTCCCTGCATGGAGCCTGCTTCTCTCTCTGCCTGTGTCTCTGCCTCTCTCTCTCTCTCTGTCTGTCATGAATAAATAAATAAAATCTTTTTTTTAAAAAAAAAAGTATTTTTGTCTATTTTGATGAGTTTTAAAAAACTGATACCATCCAAAATTTAACTAATTTGTGGTTACTTTAAATATATCTGTAATGCTAATTTGGAAGTGATATGATTGAAATTTTAAAAATACAGAGTATTAGTATTACATTACTCTAAGCCATAAAAGTAATGCCTAGGAAGATTTTTATTACACAAGAATCATTAAGCTGAAATGTAAATTGTTTATAATTAAGTATGTTCTCTATTTTTACCAACTTCATTCGAAATGTCTTTTCAGCTCAATCAGTGAAACCAAATACAAGAAGAAAGAAAGGGATAGAACTGGGAGACATTCAAAATTCCATTGAATCTATAAAACAAACACAGGAAGAAATTAAAAGGTAATATACATGGACAGTGGCTGGCTGTTCATTTAAGTGTAGAGAGATGGTTAAGAATCCTGTTAGGTAGGAAATTGTATGCAAACTTAACAGTTTTATAACATTGTTGGGCTATAATAGAACCTTGGCTTCTGTTGCCTGATGACTAAAACTTACGAAATTCCTTCACCACTAAAATATAGGGGCAGAGTGGTGGTTTTTTCTCATCTGTGAGGGTAAAATTGGAAGCTCTTTATCTTACTGCTGTAGCATACTAGAAATGTAGCTGGGTTGGGTGTTGAAATGGGGTAGTTTCTGAGAGAATTGGCTAACAAAGGCTTCTGTAGTCCCTTTGTACATGGCTAATGTTTAATTGGAGTGCATCAGTTGTTGAAATACTGAAATACATCATAGCAATGGTTACATAGCATGAGATCCTTGAGTGCTCTTTTTGTAGTCCCAGACCTTCACACACACCTCCCCATCATCCAGCAACACAAGACCATTAACACGCAGGAAGGCTCCTTGAAGGGGGAAAGGTTCTGATCCGTCCTGCTCCATTGCTAAGCTAGCATGAGTGCAGATTGGTTGACTCCCATTTCTATATCAGAGAATTAAAAAAAAGATTTTTCTGTTTTTAGTGATCTTACAGCTTATATCTAGTTACTGTTTTCATTTACAGCCTCATCCCTGCACCTGTCCCATGCTCTAGTTCTGTGAAACGCCTCGTATCTCCAGAATACAGTGTGCTGTGTCATCTTTGGAGCTTTGCCAACACTGAATTGCTCTTCCTCCCACCCTGCCCATTAAGAAAATCCCTGTTTATCCTTCAGAATATAATTCAGATGCCACCCTTTTTGTAGCATTTCTAATTATTCACCCTGTCCTGTGGAGTTATTAGACTCTTCTCCACTTTCCTTGTACAGTTCTCTATACATACTGCTTTTGAGTGTTTGGTAGACTACAGAGTTGTTATTGTGTGTGTCTGTTTACCACACCCCTCCTGCCCCCACTGGCCCATGAACTCCCTTTAGAGGAGGGGGCATGTCTTCTGCTTCTTGGTGTCATCAGCCCTTATAAAATTCTCATTTCCTAGTTCAATTATATTAATTAATGAACCTGCTTATTCGCTTGCTTCCTTTCTCTCTCTATGCTGGTAACACACTTTACTAGAAGAAGTTGGGGCAGTGGCAGGGTGGGATGTCTTCACTAACCTTTTTTTTTTTTCTTTAGCTAAAAGCATTTAGGATAGCTTGAGGATAATGTAAGCTCATTTCATGACTAAATATTTTATTTTTGTCTTTCACCTATAATTTGACTTTGACAAAGTCTGTCAGCATATGAAGTGCCTATATAGTAGCATTTTTCAAGTTAGGAATGTCACGAAATCTGTTGTATTACTTTTCCTGGGAAATTTAGGATTTTTCTCCAACTTGTTTCTATCTTCCCTAAAGTAAATACAAAAGAACTTTAATAGGCCAACTAAAGAGCATAGTTTTTGTTTTAAAACCACTGTTATTGGGCAGCTCTGGTGGCTCAGCAGTTTAGCACCACCTTCACCCCAGGATGTGATCCTGGGTCCTGGGATTGAGTCCCACGTCGGGCTCCCTGCATGGAGCCTGCTTCTTCCTCTGCCTGTGTCTCTGCCTCTCTCTCTCCGTGTCGCTCCTGAAATAATTAATAAATAAATAAATAAATAAATAAATCCACTGTGATAACAGAGAAAGGTGATATATTTTTACATCATCAAACTTTAATGATTATGTTTGATGTACAACATTGAGTAACTGGTACAATGTGGAATGTAGATTTAGACAAGACCTGATAATGGCTTCACGTAGGATAATCAGCTTCCTGTTAAGGTAGTTGTAATTGATTGAACTAGTTACTTTAGTGTTCTGTTACCTAAGACTTACTAATAAATCTCATATGTCAACATTTTGACAAATAATTATAAAATTTATTGTTTCTTATTTTGTAGAAATATTATGGCTCTTCGAAATCATTTAGTTTCAAGCGCACCTGCCACGGATTATTTTCTGCAACAAAAAGACTACTTCATCATTTTCCTCCTGATTTTGCTTCAAGTCATAATAAACTTCATGTTTAAGTAGAAGTTCCTTACAGTTGAATTAATGAACTGGAATAATCAGATTTGGCCTGGGACCAATGGTCAAGTGGCTTTGGTCTTTATTAAAATGTCACAATATTTCTAAAACAAAAATCTTAGAGATAAATGTAGAGGTGTTGACCTTTCATACCTTTTATTCTTAACCTGGTATAAGAACTATTGGTTATTAAAGTGAGCTATGTGTTAAGTGCCAGAACATTTCTAGCTTTTGTGACAATGTGTTTACATGTGAATATGATAAATCCACATGTACACACAATTGTGTCTTATGTATACCTGACAGTAGTCTTTGTATTCTATAGTATGTTCTGAGATATAGCATTCATAACAAATATTGTCAATCTTAGGAAATCTATATAGCAATCTATTTTCTTCATAAAACAGGCACAAGACTTTTATCAATAAGGAATTACGGAATGGGAATGATTGCAAAATAGACATAAATAGTTCAAAACACTGTCCTGTTTAAAAATCATTTCCAAAGCACCCAGTTCAGTTATCTTCTTAGAAACAGAAAAAAAAAAAAAAAGTGTAGGCAAAATTGATGTACTGAGAGAGACAAGATGGCAAATTGCTTTTTTCAAAGTTTACACATGATTTTTTTAACCCCTGGAATTTAATATTTATAGCTACAGGTATAAATGTGTGTGTATGTATATCAACATAAAAAAACTGGTATGCAGCTATTTGGACCTATTGATTATATCTTTCTTATATAATATACCACCTCAAGCACTTGCTTAAAAGAGTGTGGTCAAAATTTATTGCTGTCCTTTTTTCTTATTTCTGTTTTTTGTAACTCCATTGGTCCAATCACTAGGCCAAATTTTAGAGATGTTTGTAGGGCATATGAAATTCTGATAATTTATGGGGTTTTTTTCATTATGAAAAATTTAGCTTTTGTTTAGACCCTAGTGTGTTCAGTGAATGAGTAGAAAAAAATTATAACCAATATTATATTTCAAAAGCCAAATAAGAGAAAGGCAATAAGAAAAGACACTTAGTGTGGTACCATTTATGTATACATTACAATTGATTTCTTTAAAATGTGCAATAAGTTGAGCATCTAAGAAGAGCATCAAGGTCTGAAGTTTAATTCCTTATTTGCCTTCTCTGTTCTGAGCAACTTCATTCTATAATAAAACCACGATTTTTCACGACTTTTTTATTCAGGCTCAGGCAAACTTTTTCCTAATTTTTTGAGAGGGAGTTAATATTTTTACTTTTGTCATAAATATTTACAGTCCTCAGAAGCAATTTTTGCAAATGTAGTTAAGCTTAGGAAGATATATCTCAGAATCCTGAAAGTAAAGATTTCAAAATGGTTATTAATGAATAAAAGTCAGAATAATTATTCTGGCTACTTTTGCCTTTGAGTAAGAAGAGGCTGTGAGACCCTAGTAAGATTACAATCAACTATTTATGCCATGATAAATATAAAATCAAGGAACGATTGCTAAATTTAAAAAATCAAAAGTGATAAAAAAAAAAAGAGCTGGCTTTTTTTCCCCTAATCAGTATACCTATTTTAAGTAGCCTTAGGTTTTATGAAGAGCCATATCCCATGTAATTTTGGCAAAATAATGCTCTATTCCATATGTACGTGTGAAAAAAAATTTTTAATTGAAATATAAGTAAGATGTACTTAAGCCTTTTAAGTATAGGTATACTATGACTACACAGAACAGGTGGGATCTGTTTGTATTTGAGACTTGTCAGTATAATTTTTGTACTCACTTTCTGTTACCAATGTTATATGCTCAACTGCCTACTCATTTATATTATTTTGTAAATATTGTACAATTTGATCCTTTTTATGGTTTAAATTAGTATTTATATCATATATAAATAAGTTGATTGGCTGATCACAAAAATCATTTCATCATTGAACCTGGAAAACTTAAAATTTCTTGTTGGTAACCCCCCTTTGGGGTTTTAGTCTTACTCACTTGTGTGTTATTTTCTTTTGGTCTAAATAGTGTTTTATTTGTATAGGTATCTTCTAAGACTGGAAAGGTAGTTACTTTTTTTTCTTTTTAAGACAGATGTTTTGGGTTCTTTACTCAAGAAGTCAAAAACTATTTCATGAAAAAGAGCAGGGTTACTCATGACTGTTTCTTATACACTGAAAGCATAGATCTAATCTAATAGTCTTATGCTTTTGGTTGTATGAGTTCCTTTCTGTGAACTGAACACAAAACTCAGGAATCGGTGGCTTAGTTTTAGATCAGTGCTTGTGCTGGGCTTAGCATGTGAATCCTTTAAAACACGTAATTAACTTTGTATGTAGCCATATATATAATTGACTTTGAATGTTCTCTACCTGAGATTAATATTCCTTCAAACATGGATTCATAAAAATTGTGATTAACAGTTCCCAGTTGTCTGAGAGCCTCATGATGGTTTCTAGGATTTAAGATCTTACGACCACTTTTTTTCATTTGATCAAAAATTTTATTTTTTCACATGAAAATTTATATGCATTTGTTTAGTTATTAAATGTACTATGCCTTCAGTCATCCACCATTTAGTGAGGTGTAGCTGGCCCAGGAATAGACCATAAATGGGGTATATGAAACAAGTAAGTCTCAGCAATAGATACTTTACTTGTATTTCATGTTAGTACTTTTTTGTATGACTTATAAAGGTACAGTGTAATCTTTGTCACCATTCCATTGAAGAAGTTGGCCTTGTAAAATGGAACACTCATTTAGTATTCACGCTTTTGTGCCTTTAAGAAAATACTTTTGTTATTTTTGTGTTACAGAACTCTACAATATGATTCAAAGTGTTTATAGGCTTACTTGTCATAAAGGGTCATTTCTCTGTGTCATTTTTATTTCCTTTTATATAGCTATAGTATATTTAAACAGTAATGCTGTACTTTTATAAGGGTTTGTCTATTTAACTATTTCAGATACATTCACTCTCAGACATCATTGAAGTAGACTTGTCAGATTATTCTGAGTATTGTAAACAGTGCCTTTTTGATGGAATTCACACTGTTTTGGGTGTCCACTTGTGCCATATACACATAAAATTCTGTAGAAGGCAGTTTTAACTTTTTGAAGAATATCTTAGAATACTTAAGAAAACAAATGTAAAAAATTCCGTTTTTTCCAGTGTCTAGCATTTGTAATGGGTAATGAATATATTTTTGGGGTTTTTTTGGTTGATATACAGTGATGATGGCAATATTGATGAGCCATACATGATGCTGTAGATTATTTTGAATTATGTTAAATTAAATGTACAGAAATAAAATACTAATACTTGCATTTATACCAAATTTTCCAATTTGAACAAGGAGTAACACCACACAAATCACTAAGTTTACATTTCAACTTCTGCGTCATTTGACTATATTGATAAATTCTTTAAACTGTATAACCTGCCACTATTATGTAATTTGGTTTCACTTTGTTTACTGTGTGTGAATTTAGTATATTTAAGTTACTTTTTGTTACGCTTTAATATACTGTTTGTTTAGTTACAGTTTTTAATTGAAGATGGACTGTTAAAATTGTCTAGGACCAGTGTCTCCTTAATATGATTAACATATTTAGAAGAGCCACAAGAAACCCGTGACAAAATGAATGTGAATATACTTTCTAAAATGTTCAGAAAATTCTATCGTTTTGCATTTATCATGTAAAATTATTTTAGTATTACAACACTGAAATTTATTTTAAAAATGCCATGAAACATTGGAACTGATGAGCCACAGAACTTCAGCAGAAAACTTTTTTCACTTTTTAGCATGCTTCAATATACATCTGAGTTAAATGTCCTGCTTAACGGCCATTTATAAATTCAAACACTCTAGCGCTGGTCAGGTGTGTGTCCTAGAAGTGCGTTCCCCGCAGTGTGAGTACGACGGTCACGCCCCTTCCCGGAGGCGCGGGGCGCGGCGAGGCCCAGGCGACGGTTTTGTGACGCTCCACGTTTCTAGTCTGTTATTCCTCACCTATTATGAATGTTTGCAGACGCAAAAGAATTGAATTTTGTAATCTGTAAGATAATGCTAACTTCTACAGGTAGGCATTCTGAATAAAATTCTTAAAAACAGCGAACTGCGATCTAATGACTTTGAATCTGGCATGTGGCGGCTGCCTCCTGGTCTCTTTCCGTGGGACCCGCGCCGGCCGGGGACGGGGACGGGACGGGCTCGCACAGCCTCTGACGCGCGCCGTGCCCGGCGTCCTCGGGGGGCGCTCCCGGGGCTCCATCCACCTCATCCGCCGCCGCCTGCCCCGCGCGGACGCGAAGCCGAGCAACCTGTCGCCGCTCAGCCCCAGTGGACCCTCCTCGAGGGACGTGGCGTCGCCAAGGCGGGCGCAGGCTCCCGGGCGCCGTCCCCGCCGCTGCTCCGGCACCGCACCGTCTGCGGGGCACGACGGGGGTCGTCAGCCGCGGGGCCCAGCGCACCCCGCGCGCCACGCCCCATGCGCCCTGCCGCACCGCGCGCGGCCGCCCTGGTCTACGTGTACATGACGTCACCACGCGCCCTGCCGCACCGCGCGCGGCCGCCCTGGTGTACGTGCACATGACGTCACCGCGCGGATGTCACGCGGGGGGCCGCACAAGCCAGGGCTGCGGCCGCCGGGTCCGTGCCGTCCGCGGGAGGAAGGACGTCTCAGCCCCGGGAACAGCTCCCCGGAAGCCCTGACCTCCCAGCTTCCGCCGCCCGCCCCGCCCCTTCCGCCGCCCGCCCCGCCTCCTTCCAGGGGGTGCCCCCGCCGCCGGCCCTGCGTGCGATGGCCGCGGCGGGCTCTTCGGAGGCGGCGCTGCAGGTGGCGGAGGCGCTGGAGACCATCGTGAGCCGCTGCTTGGGGCCCGAGGGGCGGCAGGTTCTGTGTACGAAGCCCACCGGCGAGGTGCTGCTGAGCCGGGACGGAGGCCGCCTCCTGGGGGCGCTACACCTAGAGCACCCCGCAGCCAGGTACCCTCCTCCCGCCCCCTCCCGCAGCGCGCAGCAGCGGCCGTCCTCGCGCTAGACTCCAGCGCGCTTCCAATGGGACTTTCTTCTGGGCCTCACATCTTTTTTTTTTTTTTTTTTAATAGAGGGGGTCAGGTGGTCACTCTTCTTTTCTTTTTTTTTTTTAATTTTATTTATTCATGAGACAGGCAGAGGGAGCAGCAGGCTCCCTGCAGGGAGCCCGGCCCGACGCAGGACTGGATCCCAGGACCCCGGGGTCATGCCCTGGGCCGAAGGCGGCGCTAACCCGCAGGGCCAAGGGGAGCCCTTGGGCATCAGATCTCATCAAACACCCAACAACGCTCATTTTCCCCTCCTCGCTCCACCCAACCCCAGAATCTCGAAATAGAACAAAGTAACTTGAAAAACAGGAAAACTAAAGGAACCAAAAGGACAGTACTTTACGACTTTAGTTGTGAAACCGTGGTTTCCACTCAACTGGCGCGTGAGAAAGCCGCCCTCTGAAAATCTGAGTTGCTTTATTTCTTTTTCTGTCCAGGTTGGTGGTGGCCTATGTTTCCAGTCATCTAAGAAAAACAGGAGATGGTGCTAAGACGTTCGTTGTCTTCCTTTGTCATTTACTTCGAGGACTTCACGCAATGACGGACGGAAAACAGGATTCTTTGGCCTCCAAACACATGCAGACCCATAGAAGACGTTGGAAAAATTGTTGTCGGTGGAAATTGATTTCGCAGTCTCTTCTAACGTTTCAGACACACAGATTAGATTATATTGTGGACCGTTACCTAAGCAGACACTTTGGGTCCATCTTTTCTTCCTCCACTAAAGAGAGAACGCTGTGTAGGAGCTCTCTAGAGTCGCTCTTAGCAGCGTACTTTGGTGGGAGAGTGGGGAGAAATAATCGTGACTTTATGTCACGGTTGACGTGTGACTACTTTTTCAAATGTATGGCCCGTGAACGCGGGTCCGAAGAAGTGTTGGACCTGGTGGATGATTATTTTCTAGAGCTGAGTGCTGGTGTCACCGGCCTCCCCGTCTCCGATTCCAGGATCACGCCCGGGCTTGTGCTTCCTAGAGACTTTTCCGTATACCGTCCAGCAGATGGTGACATAAGAATAGTGATAGTAACGGAGACCGTTCAGCCTCTCTTTTCCACTTCTGGATCAGAGTTTATTTTGCGTTCGGAAGCACAGTTTCAGACATCTCGGTTTTGGATTATGGAAAGAACGAAAGCAATAATGAAACATTTACAGAGTCAGAATATAAAATTGCTCCTGTCTAGTGTGAAGCAACCGGACTCAGTTATTTATTACGCAGGACTGGCCGGCATATCGGTGGTGGAGTGTTTATCCCCTGAAGAAGTCTCTCTCATCCAGAGGATCACTGGTCTCTCTCCCTTGGCACTGCCACATGCCACTTCACAGGATGAAATCTGTAACACTGTTTTGGTGAAATTCTGTAAGCCTCTTACCTTTAGATCCAAAAGGTATGTCCACCTTGGTGTGATTAGCACCTCTTCATTTATACCACACTATGTAGTACTTTGTGGACCAGTGCAGGGTCTCGTTGAACAGCACAGAGATGCCTTACATGGAGCATTTAAGATGCTTCGACAGTTACTTAAAGACCTTGATCTAAATTACCTGATACAGACCAGTGATCAAAATCATACATCAAGTCCTCTTGTTTATAACGAAAGTGATCCATTGCCAGAAGTTGTTAATGGCTCAATACAGAGGCCACGTCAGGACACAGTGTTAAAGAACAAAAGTAAACTGACAAAAACTCAAACATATTTAGATTTGGTAGTTCCAAGTGTAGAATTAGAAACGTGTATTCCATGTTCACCAAAAGTGACACCAACAGGTACCTACCAAACGGATGAAACACTGAGATGTTTCTCTCCAACCAAAACCAGGATAAATGGTGACAATGAGCCATTTATTGAGAGCAATTCTGCTAATTCAACAGCAGAAAACACTAGAAGAGAAATTCCTTATGAAAATTTACAAATCACAAAAATTCCTGGGAAGGGAAACCTGTTGCCAGTGAGAGAGAAGTCCCTGGAGATCTGTGCTCCCCAGGGTCACTGCTTCTCCACTATACCAGCAGGTTGTGTTTTGCCAGTGGGTGGCAATTTTGAGATCTTGTTACACTACTATCTTCTCCACTACGCCAAAAAATGTCAGCAGTCAGAAGAAACCACGGTTAGCATGATAATAGCTAATGCTCTTTTAGGCGTTCCTAAAATCCTGTATAAGTCTAAGAAGGGAAATTGCAGCTTTCCACAAATATATGTAAGAACTCTCCATGCACTGCAAACCCATCAACCCATGGTAAGCAGCCAGACAGGTTTGGAATCAGTAGCTGGTAAATACCAGTTACTAACTTCAGTTATTCAATGTTTAACAAAAATTTTAACCATTGATTTGGTCATCAATATTAAGAGACAGCCTCAGGAAATTTATGATCAAGATTCAGAAGAGGAAGGATAAAATTGGAGGTTTTTTATTAACCAAACTTTTAATTCAACTCAAGCCATAAAGTGAAGAAGGATGTGACCACTGATTCACAAATCTATTCGGTCTAGTTAGGAAAACATCAAAACTTGAAAAGTCTTGGGAAGAAGTACACTGAGAGGCTAGCAGGCATTCAGACACAAATACTGGACAACGTTACGGACTGGGTCTGAGGAAGAAGCCCTTCCACACGGGGGAAGCCAGGATCTGAGCAAGGGTGAGCCTTGCCCTTACAGGTCCCAGTCTCAGCTCGGTGTCAGCTCATGTATACATGGGAGGGTGTTCCGTTACAGCTCCGTTTTACTTTTCTGTATCTTTTGTCACTTCTCTTCATTTGTCTGCGCCTTTTTGTATTTAGTTCATAGAATCCTTTAATCTGAGATTTGGATGGGGCCTTCAGATGTCATCCTATTTTAATAACTTATGATATATAGTTTTCGCTTCATTTAAAATAATTTCTAAAGCAATGAATAAGTCTTAAATTTTTTCTCAAGCATATAAATCAAATTAACTTTTACTTTTATATGTCCCCTATTTGTTCCTGTTTTATGTAGAAAAGCCTGGATATATATATTTTTTTTTTCACAATCTATGCACCACTGAACATGTAACGAGAAATACGACTTGTGCACTGTAAACTTATTTTCATTTCTGTGGTTAAAAGTTAGTTTCAGGGCAGCCCGGGTGGCTCAGCGTTTGGTGCCACCTTCAGCCAAGTGTGTGATCCTGGAGACCCGGGATCAAGTCCCACATCAGGCTCCCTGCATGGAGCCTGCTTCTCCCTCTGCCTGTGTCTCTGCCTCTCTCTCTCTGTCTCTGTGTCTCTCGTGAATAAATAAATAAAATCTTAAAAAAAAAAAGTTTCAGAAAGGTTATGAAGTGCATACTATCATTTTCTCCTGTCCCTTAATTGCTTGTAAAAATAATTCATGTGGTTGGTGACTGTTCTTGTATTTGGTGCATAGCCACACAGTAGTAATAAAAAGTTTGAAAATTATTTATTTCTAATGTGAATTTTCACATATTCACATTTTATTTTAAAGGTTTATAAGTGCAAGTAATATTGTGCATCTAGCTGTAGAGAAGGACAGTGTCCTCTACTTTTAGCAGTTCTCTGTAACACCCCAAACACTGCTACATTTATACCAAGTATTCAGAAGTGTATGAAACTGCTACTTTTAATCCGTTCTCTTAAATACATGTTTCCATTTACAAATTCAATGATTTTTTTAGATTTATTTATTTATTTATTTATTTATTTATTTATTTATTTATTTGAGAGAGCAGGGGAAAAGGGCAGAGGGTGAGGGAGAGAACGTCTGAAGCTGGCTCGATGCAGAGCTGGATCCCACGAGCCTGAGATCCCAACCTGAGCTGAAGCCAAGAGTTGAGGCTTAACTTGCACCACTCAGGAACCCCACAAATTCAACAAGTTCTCAGTGAATGCTTACTATGTGCCAGTGCTGACTACATGTGGTCAACAAACAGCTATGGTTCTTGCCTTCTTGCTCCTTTTCTGAAAAGTTAACGGATGTGACACTACTTGGATTGAGATTACATTTAGGAAACTAGATTTTAGAATTCTAGTTATAGTAAAACTTGAAAAAGTGGTGACTAAGTATGTATTGAGAAACTGTAGGGATCACTGGGTGGCGCAGCGGTTTAGCGCCTGCCTTTGGCCCAGGGCGCGATCCTGGAGACCCGGGATCGAATCCCACGTTGGGCTCCCGGTGCATGGAGCCTGCTTCTCCCTCTGCCTGTGTCTCTGCCTCTCTCTCTCTCTCTCTCTCCTCTCTCTCTCTCTCTCTCTATCATAAATAAATAAAAAAAATTTAAAAAAAAAACTGTAACATCTTAAAAAAAATTGGAAAGAAACTGGGACACCTGGGTGGCTCAGCCGTTTAGCCTGCCTTCAGCCCGGGGCGTGATCCTGGAGACCTGGGATTGAGTCCCATGTCGGGCTCCCTGCGCGGAGCCTGCTTCTCCCTCAGCCTGTGTCTCTGCCTCTCTCTCTGTGTCTCTCATGAATAAATAAAATCTTTAAAAAAAAGAAAGACTAACATCTTGTGGTATGATCTTTTACATTAACTGCAATTTCATTTTTTGTGAGGTTTATGGCATATAAAATTATGCCATTTCTGTGATTATGGGGAGAATAAATTAGCTCTGTTGTTTGTTTTAAGGAGGCTCTACACCCAGCATGGAAGCCAGTGTGAGGCTTGACGTCACAGCCCTGACTGAGATCAAGACCTGAACTGACATCCAGAGTCAGACACTTAACCGAGTGAGCCACCCAGGTGCCCCAATTAGCTGTTTCTTTTTGTTGTTGTTGTTAGCTGTTTCTTATACTGAATTCATTGATGTATGAACCTACTGTAAAATTGCTGTACAATTTTTTTCATTCACTTTTTAAATTGCCTGTCAGATCATTTGATAGTTTTGCTTTATTTTGTTATTTTAAATACTTCTCCATCATTGAAGGCATTCAAAGACTTTTCTAGACATGCCAGATATACGCCCTTGCATATGGTAGGCATTCTATAGCTATAAATAATCAGGAGTCCGGAAGCCCCTTTGTAAGCTGGGCCTGGGTTTTGTATGTTTGGCACCTGCTCTAATATCTAGCACAATAATAATATCTAGTAGCCAATAAGCGTCTGTTGAAGAACTGTTTGTTGACTGCAGTAGTCATTTGATCATAATTATTTCTATCAAAGTTTCGTGGGAAAGGATCTGTTTGAGGGGACAAAGCAGAAAATGTAGAACAAGTCCACACAAAGCAATCTTTTTCTCTTTTAAATCTCTTCTAATATATTTTTTTAAAGAAAAGGGAGAGAGATTTTATTTGTTTATTCATGAGAGACACAGAGAGAGGCAGAGACCCAGGCAGAGGGAGAAGCAGGCTCCCTATAGGGAGCCCGATGTGGGACTTGATCCCGGGTCTCCAGGATCAGGCCTTGGGCTGAAGGTGGCGCTAAACTGCTGAGCCACCCGGGCTGCCCTCTTCTAATCTCTTAAAAAAAAAAAAAAAGTCCCTCAAAAGTGGTGATAGAGTGTTCATGGGTTATCTTTATCATTTGTGGAATAACCTTATAACAATTTGATTTTTAAAAGGACTCCAGGGGTAACTGGGTGGCTCAGTCAGTTAAGCATCTGACTTTTGATTTTGTCTCAGGTCATGATCTCAGGGTCATGAGATTAAACCCCACACTGGGCTCTGAGCTGGGCATGGAGCCTGCTTTAGAGTCTCCCTTTCCCTCTCCCTCTAGGGAGTTTACATCACCAAGTTAGAAACAAGAGCACTTTAGGAAATGTAATTACATTGTATTTAAACCCTCTTTAACAAAGGATTGGAAGTGACCTGCAACAAGAACAGACAAAATTACTGTACAATCCGAATATAAATTAAAGAATCAAGACCAAAGAGGGCACCTGGGGGGCTCAGTGGTTGAGCATCTGCCTTTGGCTCAGGGCGTGACCCTGGGGTCCCAGGATCGAGTCCCACGTTGGGCTCCCTGCATGGGGCCTGCTTCTCCCTCTGCCTGTGTCTCTGCCTGTCTCTGTGTGTCTCTCATGAATAAGTAAATAAAATCTTTAAAAAAAAAAAAAAAGACCAAAGAAAATGTAAAGAAGATTAAAAGCCAAGATTATGTTCTTGTTTTCTGTTGTTGCATAATGAATAACCTCAAAACTTACCTGATCTGAACTATTATGTGATTCCCTCTCATGGTTGTGGGAATTGCCGGGTCTTAGCGGGACAGCTTCCATTGTATTCTGTGGGTTCAGGCTGTCAAAAAGGTCAGCTGAAGTTCAAAGAAAGGAAACATGGGCCCCACCACTCAGTGGGAAGAGTGTCAGTGTCACAGTATTAGAGGAGCATGTGGGGTGAGATCTATTGAGGCAGCTGTTTTGGAAAATACAATCTACCACACATGGAAGGGAAAAAAGGGCACATATGCATCAACTTCTCAACCAAGTTTTTTATTATTGTGTTCTGAAGGTACCTGACTACCTCCACAAATACATCTTCCCAATAACTTTAATGAACCTTCTGATTTTTTCCATTGGGCCAGCATAAGCTAGTTTTATCCTCTAAACACTAGGCATTAGATTGTTGAATAGCTCTAACTACTCCAGCCAGGGGAGCTACTTGATCATATTACAGCGGAAGAGGAGTGGCATGGTGTCCATGCTTTAGACTAAGGGAGAGGGAAGAGAAGTGTGATTTGCACCTGAACTTTTACCAGACATTACTTCTTCCCTCTCAAAAGCAATAGAATGTGTCTTTCCTGTCATCACGTCCAGCAGAGAAAACAAAACCTACAGCTTGGGACCATCTCTCTATCACGTTATGGTGACTCAATGCAGCTTTGTAATAAAGACTTTGGTGTAAGTGGATACACAAATACTAAGACAGGCAGAGGCAGTAATCCAGGGGGCAGACCTGCAAGGGAAGAGGTAGCAAGGTGGTTTCTCGGTGGACGACTACATGCTGATGATTCCAGATGATCTCCCAGCCAACCTCTTCTCTGAAGTCCCAGCTCCCTCGCTGAACTGCCAACCCAGTCTCTACTTGGAGACTCACCCTTAACTTGTCTAGAACAGAATTGCTGTTTCCCATCCCCCAAACCCAGCTCTCCTCTGCTGTACTGCCTCAGGTAATGGCCTCCACCACTCTCGACATGCACAGGACAAAACCTAAGAGACACCTTGGCTCTAAACTTCACCTCCCACAGTCAATCTGTCAGCAAATCCTCCTGGCTCCACATATAAAATAGATTTCAAATCCACCCATTTCTTACAATTGCAATTCCAGCTCAAAATACCTCATCTCTTACCCACAGCAGCCCTCCTCTGACCTGTGCTTCTCTCTTGTACTTCTCCAGAGTGATTTCCCCCCAACTTTTTATTAAAAATTTTTTAAGATTTATTTATTTTAGAAAGAAAAAGGGGGTGGGGGGTGGAGGAGCAGACAAGAGGGAGAGAATCCCAAGCAGACTCCTCTCTCAGCCTAGAGCCCGACTTGGGGCTCCAACTTAGAACCTTGGGATCATGACCTGAGCAGAAACCAAGAGTTGGCCACTCAACCAACTAAGCCACCCAGGCACCTCTATTTAAAATATTTGGAAAAAGCATACAATGAACACTACATACCCTTCATCTACATTTACCTATTACCATTTTACCCCTTGTTCATGTGCACACAGGCACACAAACACATTTTTACTGAACCATTTACTGAAAGTAAGTTGAGGACATTCTACGTTATGCCTAAATACCTCGCTGTGTATTTCCCATGAATAAGGACTTCCCCTCCGTGACCAAATGATTCTTTTTAAATGCAAACCATCATGTCATTCCCCTGCTCAAAACTCCAAAGTTTTCTTTCACCCCGACGGAACCCAAATGTATCATCATCTAAGAGGCCCCTCGTGATCTGTCCACTGCTTGTCCTTTAGATGACATCTCCCACCTCTCTCCCTCTAGCTTTCTCCACCCCAGTCACACCGGCTGTAGCAGTCAGGACACGTTATGCACTGAGTAACAGCTCCAAATCTCAGAGGCTTGACACCACACAGATTTATTTCTTGTTCTCGTTTATGTCTATTAAGGGTCAGCCGGGGACCTCGCCCACATTGTTTTCTTCCTCATCTTAGATTGTGGTTGACCGAGCAGTCACTCTCTGAAGCATTACCAGTCATCGTGCAGAGAGAGGGCGAAGAAAACTCTAGACAGTCCATTGGCTCTGTCCATAAACGGCACATGTCCTTTCTGCTCATGACTCGCTATCCGAAGTCACAAAGTCCTCCCCATCCACTGAAGAACCAGTTAGTGCAATCTTACCTTGTGCCTGAAAGGAGGGAGAACCAGGACATTTGGCGAACAGCTCTGGAGTCCCCAAACTGGCCTTTCTGTTCCTTGAACGTCCAGGTTCATTCCGGCCTCTGAGCTCTCTGCTGTTGTTCTGTTTACTTAGAACTCTCTTCTCCACTAATCTCCATATGGCTCGCTTTCTTGCTTAATTCAAATATCTCTGCCTTAATGTCCCCTCCTCAGATATGCCTTTCTTGACCTTTCAATCTAAAGTACTACTGTATTCCGTTCCCATCACCTCCCTCATTCACTGTCTTTCTACCTTGTTAAGGCTTTTTTGAAGCACAGACCTCATATTTAATATGTGCATTTATTTATTTATTTTTGTATTGACTGCCTTCCCCACTAGACTGTAAATTCCACAAGGACTTTGACTTAATCACTTACATATTTCCAACAGGTAGGATAATGCCTGGCCAGGTAGGCACCGGACAAAGTTCAGTGAATTAATGTAAAGGACCATACTGTTTAAAATGGTCCATACTGTCTAAAAGACTGCCTAAGGCTTCCTTCTCCTGAGCCATGACCGGACAGATTCAACTAACACTTGCCCATGACTCCGTCTTTGTTTGCTTTCATTGCTACCTCATTCTGACGGACACAGTGTTTTCTTAAAATATGAAATCACTGCAGAGCCCTACTGACCTGGAAACCATCCTGTTTCCTCCAGGGAACTTAGCATGTTTCTATTCTGAACAATCATTTGTTCGTTTTAAAGACTGGTCCTCAGTAGGAAATTGCATTTCCAAGTCAGTGTCAAAGCCTCTCAAAAGCCCCAGTAGAGTAGCCCCTTGCCTTGGTGACCTAGTGTGTTATGGTTGAATTGCATTTATGTGAACAGTACGCTAGGTTAACAGTACGGTGGAATATGTATAATCCTCCCAGTCTCTGCCTTCACTACTCCTTTGGGTATTTGCATTTAGCATCACGTAAAAGAGGGACATTCTTGTCTCTCCATCACCAGTGCCGGAGCTTATTACAAATAGGTATCTCGGTAAAAACCTCCCAGATCATTGCAGCAGAGGTCGCTATGCCCAGATTCAGTACACCTAGTTATGACTGGGGAGTTCTAAGCATGATGACCTCCACTGTCTGTGTCCCACTATAGAGAAATCCCTGCTGCAATAACAGAAATGTCCATTCTCTTTAAACAGTGAGTCCCATGGTATATCTTATATTAATATGTATTCCAGGGGCACCTGTGTGGCTCAGTCGGTTAAGCATCTGACTCTTGATTTCGGCTCAGGTCATGATCTCAGGGTCATGAGATTGAGCCCCACACTCCATGCTCAGCGGGGAGTCTGCTTCTCTCCTCCCTCTGCCCTGCTCCCCAACCCCAGGCGTGCATGCTCTCTCTAAAACTAAATAAATAAATCTTTCAAAAAATATATTAATACATGTTTTAAAAGTACATTTATGCAAAACTTCTAGAGACTTCACTTGCATCACAATTTACCCATCATTTTGTACTTTATAAACTCCCATACTGAATTCCTCTATATGTCTTAAAATTTACATTACCTTATAATATAATAAGCTTCATAATTAGTTAAGTGTTTCTTATATAATCCCCCAGCTAGTAATTTCAACATTCCTACGTGGACAAATGATACCTTGGGCATTAAATTGAGAAGGAAATATCTAATATGCTCCTTGAGGAGATTTTGTTGGTCGTTGAGGAAAAAGAAGTCCATGTATACAGTTCTATTATTTGCCACACTTTAACCCTTTTGAGAAGTAAAAAAAGGGAGATCTTTTATATATGTATAGGAAGAAACAAATGAACTACACAGCAATAACACCACAGGGACATTTTACAGGTTGTGTTTGTGAACTACACTCTGAGGCACAGTACGGTAGAAGGAACAGAAGCTTTGAAGTCAGGCAGACCAGCATTGCCGTCCCGGCTCCATCCGGTACTGGCTGTGTGGCTGGACAAGTCGCTGATCACCTCTTCTCTTAATTCCCTTATCTGTGAAGCGGTAATCACAGGACCTGCCTCACCCAGCTGTGGTAAAGATTAAAAAAGATCTCAAGATCTTGAAATTAATAAAGACCTATGAGAAGTGCCTCGCCCAGTGCCCGCTACGCTGTTAAGTAGGAGCGTCCTAAGAATGCGAGCTTTATTTCTCCCTTTGGTTGCCTATGACTTTTTTTTTAATTTTTTTTTTTTTTATTTATTTATGATAGTCACAGAGAGAGGCAGAGACGCAGGCAGAGGGAGAAGCAGGCTCCATGTACCGGAAGCCCGATGTGGGACTCGATCCCGGGTCTCCAGGATCGCGCCCTGGGCCAAAGGCAGGCGCCAAACCACTGCGCCACCCAGGGATCCCTGCCTATGACTTTTTAACTTTTGCCTTCTTCCTGCAGCCTCTCAGCTACACTAGCTGATCTGTGCCCTGAGCGTGGCAGCGTGCTTGCTCTCGTTAGCTCCCTAAGCCCTGCAGGCAGTATAAGCATTATCAGGAGTTACTGTGGGGTTCTGGCTCCCTCACTCTGACTTCCATGTCTGCCTCCCAGTGGAAGGGGAGTAACTTACTGGGTCCCCAAAGTCCCATCCCTGCCACAGACACTGCCAGCTTTTTAGTGCCAGTGGTAGGTAAAGCAGCAGCAAGGAACACCTGGAACTACTGAGCATCTCCCCATGGTTGCCTCGAGTGGGCTAGTGCTCACATGCTCACAGTGCCTGGGCCCTCTTCCCAGACTCCATACATCCCACCAGCAGGGAAGCAGTCCCAACAGAGGAATGGAGAAGAGCGGCCACGCACCAGGTCTCAGACAGCTGGGCTCCCCCTAGGGAGATTGGCTGTGAACCCTACAGGCAGCCGAGATTTAGGAATCCATTCTAGACACAACCCCTGGAATGGGCTTAGTTTCCCCAAAGAGACCCAGGAGCTGTTACTTGGCATTATTGAATCTTTTCCAGCTCCAGGGTGAGTTGAGTTTCTTAAAAAGCAAACTGGGAAAACCAGAGTGTTCCATGTGCTTTGCCACTGAACAGCAGTCCTTCAATCTCCACAGGATGGAGGCGGGATCACTGACAAGAGAGGGAGAGCTAGCTCTCTGGTTTACAACTGTAGAGCTTCCCGTGGCCCAGCAACATTCCTGCTTGCAGCTGCCAGGAGACGGCAACATCAATTAGCTGAAAGAATCCAATGCTCCTGAGGAGGGAGCTAGTGACAAGGCTTCAATAAAGCCAGACAGTGAAGGTGAGCAGAGTGATTATGTGAAAGGAATGTTTTATTAATTTGGGAAAAGGGAAGCAATAGAAGGGGAAAGGGAAATAAGTCAGTCGTTCTAAAGCGATGGGATGAAGATACTTAGTTTAATCAGAGTAGACTCTAAGACCACTGGGCACCTCGCATATAAATAGCTCTCCATGGCTAATTAAGGTCAAGCATTGAGATTCTTGCTTTTGTGTCCTATTTAAGAAATCTTTAAGTGCTGCATGCAAGGTGTGAGCCTTTGGAATGGTAATGAGGAAACCGGAGGAAAAATACTGAATTTTAGTAATTCCTTCATATACATGCTAAATATAAATATTCACAATATTAAAGATGTATAATATGTAAAATGTTAAACACGTAAATATGTTGAATATATGAGAAAATGAGCAGTCTAGTATAATGCATTCACATTGTGTGAAGACTAGCTTATAATACCCTAATAATGAGCTAAAGAAAAAGAAGTTACTTCCAAGTGATCTCTTTTTTAATTTGTAACAAATTGCTTCAATCTGCTCTTCCCACAAGTTGTTCTGGCAGAGACTCTAGAGTTCAGTCAACTGAGCCTCCATGAGCATGGCCCTTTATGTACCATTCTCCCAGAAACTCCTCCAGGCTGCAGCTTCTCCCGGGATCCAGAAAGCAACCCCGAGAACCCGTCACAGGAACCCACCTGCGAGGACAGTGCCATCGCAGCCGATGACCTTGTACCAGGTAAGTGTCCTTAGGAGGTGGCGGTGTGCCTGGGGACCTGTGCTGGGCCCCCTGTGCTGGGCCCTGCCTGCACCTGCTGTGCTCTGGGCCCTCTGGCCGAGCTGCTGGGGTGGCAGGTGACCTCGGGCTGGGTCTGGAAACAGCGGCCGTGTCCTGTCGCCCCAGGTTCCCTTGGGTCAGGGGCCCGGGAGGCCTTAGCTGGATGGTTCTGGCTTGGGGCCTTTGTGAGGGGCCGCTGCCTGGGGCTGAAGGATGCGGTCCCCTCACTGACCTGGGCAGCAGCCCCGGCCCGGGCCTGGGCCCCTCCGGGGGCTTCTCAGGTGTCTGCGGGCCGCCCCCGACCCCATGACCCCTGTGTGCTTGGCTCTTGCTTGGGGGGCAAGACTGCACAGCTGGAGACGACCATCCCATCTGGGCCGGCCACAGCGATGCTGACTCGCCGCGGCCTCAGCGGGGGCACCTGGGGCGCTGCGGGCCGCGTCTCTGTGCACCTGCCACCGTGCAGCGAGCTCCGGGGCTGCGGTCGCCGCCTGAGGCCCAGGAGGAAGCCGCACCAACCCGCATCCTGGTCAGGGGCTGGTTGGGGGGTGCCACACCCGGTGCTCGCGGGCTGCAGGAGGTGGGCCTCCCTGCAGGCGCTCGGAGGGGGCAGCGCGTCAGAAGGGCACCCCCAGGCTGTGCAGCAGGTGCCCGGGAACCAGACGCGCGTTGTCTCCGCTGCTCAAAGGCACGTGCTCCAGGGGGAAGCGAGGGAAAGCCTCAGGGGTAACAAACCCAGTTGCTCTAATGGACGTGCTGGCCTTGTGGCCGCTCCGTTTTCATCCTGCAAAGACATTGCTGTGTGAAAGCCAATGAAGCTCCGCACTGAGGCTTAATACTGGAATTTAAGAGACGCCTTGTTGCAAAACTGACGGCGGGTATGAAGCCAAGCAGGTGTCCCTGTTACTGGTCCCCCGGGCTGAGCCCCCTGCCAGTTGCTCTGGCTGCTGCAACAGAGTCCGAGCCCCGACCGGCTGGGACCTCAGGCTCAAGTGTGCTCACCTGGTCCCGGAGGCCTGAGGCCTGACATCAGGGCTCAGTAGGGCAGCACTACCTCTGTGGCCCCAGGGAAGACCCTGTCCCTGCCCCTTGCAGCTTCAGGTGGCTCCAGGGCTCCCCTGGCCCATGGCCACAGCACTCCAATCTTGGGCTCCACGGTCACATTGTTGCCACCTCTCCTGTCAAATCTCTCTCTGCCTCATTTGCATAAGGACACTTGCCATTGGATTATTTAGAGCCCATGTGGATAATCCTGGATGAGCACCTTCTTGAAAGATCCTTAGAGGAATCACATCATTTGCCATGTCAGGTAACACATCCTCCCTCCCCCTCCCCCCCATATAGGGTAACACTAGCAGGTTCGGGAGATTAGAAGGCGGACAAATTTTTTTTTTAAGATTTTATTTATTTAGAGAGCATGAGCAGGGGAGGGCCAAAGGGACAGTGAGAAGCAGGCTCCCCCCAAGAGGGAGCCCAACATGGGGCTGGATCTCAGGACCCTGGGATCATGACCCGAGCCAAAAGCAGGTGCTAAAGTGACTGAGCCACCCAGCCATCCCCGAGTGTGCACAGAGCTTTTTGGTTCAGTTTACCGCGACCACCCGGTCCCCAAAGGCTCTGGCACAGCAGTGTTTACGGTGGCGTAAGTTGAACTGAGGGGTCAGGTACACACACATAACGGCAGAGATTGTGAGCACGTAGCTGGGGGACAGTTACGCAGGGTTCACACCCAGCCTGTAGGACTCCAGAGTTCATGCTTTTAAATCACTAGTCAGTATTGTCACCTTCTTGCCCTTTTATGTGTGAACTGTCATCGTCAATATGTTCAAAGTCAGCAGTTACGGAAAGGAAGCCCGGGCTATGGGGGCGCCAGCAGGCCCGGCCTCGGTTTGGCGTTTTTTTTTTTTTTTTCTTTAAAGATTTTATTTATTTACTCATGAGAGACAGAGAGAGGCAGAGACACAGGCAGAGAGAGAAGCAGGCTCCATGCAGGAAGCCCGACGTGGGACTCGATCCCGAGACTTCAGGACCACGCCCTGGGCCGAAAGCAGGAACCAAACCACTGAGCCATCCAGGGATCCCTGGTTTGGCGGGGTTTGCACAACTAAGAAGCCCTGGTCGCCACCACTCGCAGAGGAGACTCCGCCGCCCCTCCCCCAGCCCCCAACTGCAGGCGAGTAGCCAGGAGGCTAATTCATTCTTGCTGCCTCTTTTCAATTCGCAGTTCAGTGTCAGCGTCTCAGTCTGGCAGGTAAAGGTGACCCTGGCCGTCATCTGCCTTCCTGGTGAGTTCCGGGCAGGGGGTGGGGGGGGTGCCATCGAGTGAGAAACAGCACTGATGGGGGGCATTCCTAGTCAGCTCTCATTCCGAGAGACAGAAGCTCTACCCTGCAGGTTTAGGAAGAACGCAGAGCATAAATCCTTAAGACTCATGAAGCACTTTATAATTCATAGTCACTTAGCTAAAGTTAATTACCCAATTAATCTCCAAGGATACTGACAAAATGAGTTCTTCTACAAATTATCATTATTTATTAACAGATCAGAAAGCTGATGAGGATGTTTGGCATGAGTTTCCACAGGGAGGACTGGAGTCACTGAGAAGCCACATTCTAATCCCTTCAAGGACTCCCAGTGGAAAAGCGACAGAACCCAAAGTCACCGTGGAAGTGGGACCCACGGCGGTAGGACACTGGCACCTGCCCACCCGGCCGCGTGAGAATCGTGAAGTGACAACACCTCTGGAGGCCTCGATTTCTCTGTCGCTCTCAACACTAGAGTTCTGGCCCTGCTCCTCTTGCTGAGTCAACAAGAATGTCTTCATGGAAATGAAAATGGTAGATTCTGAAAACATTGATTGAATTGCAGATTAAGTTAATTTAAAATAAATTATAATTAAGGAAGGATGCTTTTATTTTATTTATTTATTTTTAAGTAGTCTCTGCCCTCAACCTGGGGCTTGAACTCTCAACCCCAAGATCAAGAGCCACCTGCTCTACTGACAGAGCCAGCCAGATGCCCCAAGAAAGAATTTTTTTAAAAAGATTTTATTTATTCATGAGACACAGAGAGAGAGATAGAGAAAGAGAGAGAGAGAGAGACAGGCCGAAGGAGAAGCAGGCTCCCTGTGGGGAGCCTGACATGGGACTCATCCCAGATCCCCCAGGATCATGCCCTGGGCCTAAGGCAGACGCTCCACCCCTGAGCCGCCCAGGTGCCCCTAGAAGGAATGTTTTTAAGTCATGGATCTGTTAACTACCATTTATTACATAACTGGCTTTGCTGATTGCTCTGTCATGGCTGACATACAGGGTCGATGGCAAATGGCAGGATGTGAATCTCACTACCCGAGTGACTTTGGGCAAGTCACATCCTTCAGCTTCCTTTTCCATAATATGAGTATCATGATAGTACCTGCCAGCCAGTGTCATTCTGAGGATTCAGCGAGTCAGTAGAGGTACATGCACTTAGCCTGTTCCAAGTACACAGCCGATGCTCAGTAAACAAATCGCATCCACACCATGCATTAGGAACATGGCAATTTTATCACAACAAGAGTATATGAATGTACCCGCCATGTTCTCTGTCTCCACAGCCTGGTACTGCCCGAGCATCCAGCCGACTCACTGACTTCTTCATGCCTTCTTCCCTTTCCTTGATCCCACCCCCCCCCATACCTCTCTGTCTTTCCCCATCTCTCTGTTTTTCTGTTGCTTTGTCAATCTCTCTTCTCTCTACCTCCTTTTTCTTTCTTTTTTTTTTAAGATTTTATTTATTCATGAGAGACACAGAGAGAGAGAGGCAGAGACACAGGCAGAGAAGCAGGCTCCACACAGGGAGCCCGATGTGGGACTCGATCCCGGGACTCCAGGATCACGCCCTGAGCCAAAGGCAGATGCTCAACCGCTGAGCCACCCAGGCGCCCTCTACCTCCTATTTCTTTTCACCTTGCTCTTCCTGTCTCCTCACCACCCAGGACAATGAGGGACCCTACGATTGTCTGGGTCTGCTTCTGAGAACTATTTTGTCTCCTAAACTATCAGAGAAAATCAGCCCTGAGAAGGCATATGAACTGACACTGTCTGTGCCTCTACCCCCACTTTTTCTATCCATCTATCTCTGTCTGCATTCTTCTCTCTTGCCACCTCAGCTGTGGGAGATGAACTCCCTGGCACTCTGAAGACCTGATGGGGAAGAGGAAAAAACCTCCAATCCCTTGTGGCTCCTCCTGCATTGGGATATGATTGAGAGACTGTCAATACAACCTGGAGGCAGTTCTAGAACTACAGGGAGTCAAGTCTCTCTTGTTAGCCCCTGAAGTAGCCATGACTTTAAGCAAAGTATCTCCAAACAGATGTCTAAGTGGACCAGAGATGTTGATTCTAATCAAGACAACTTACATGAACGTTAACTGAGTATATATTTAATGACACACGTGATTATGATTGTGCTGTATGGTAATTAAGCATAAATGGGAAGGGGCAGTGTAAATGACTATAATTAGTATTACTTTTTCACAGCTAAGCCAAATTTCATTTCCCCTTTCCACGCTGCTAATTCGCCAGTATCTGTAATCAGTGTCAACGTTGATAATTTCTTGATGTCACATTCCGTTTAATCATCCCATCCCATCAACATACACAGATCTGCACACACAGGCATACATGGATATAAACCACACACACACACACATCCCAACACACACCGCCTGGCCCAGGAGCAACTGAGATCTCAGCCACAGATGGCTCAGGTTCTCTGTGAATTCCCTTTAAGTCCTGAAATTCTATTCTATTTTATTTTTTTTAAGATTTTATTTTATTATTTATCATCCATGAGAGACATAGAGAGAGAGAGGCAGAGACACAGGCAGAGGGAGAAGCAGGCTCCCTGTGGGGGGCCCGATGTGGGACTCCATCCCAGGACCCCGGGATCGTGCCCTGAGCCCAAGGCAGGCACTCAACCGCTGAGCCACCCAGGCTCAACTTGTTCTTCTAATAAAATAACAATGATAAGGACAGATATTTCCTTCCCCTGAATTTTAACTATTTTAACCATGTTCATAGGGCAGATCTGTCTTATTTTTAGTGTCAGGAAAGAAAACCTTCCTCTGCCCTAGCTGGACCTAGAATCAAATTGACATGAGACAGATTAACAGGAGAAAATCAAGTTTAATAGGCATATGTATGGGGAATCCACACAAACATGAAAGCTCAAAGACAATGAGGCAACATGGAGCCTATATGAGCTAAGAAGCCATAGGGCCTAAGGATAAAAAGGGAAGAAAGGTCATTAGCAGGAAGGTGAAAGGAGTGTTTGGAAAAGCAAGGTTGCTTTATTATGCAGATAAGATTTTTTAGGTAAAGGGAAATATCTGTTAATAGCTCTCTCTTCCTGGTACAGGCTCTCCTTTCCAATATAAATTTAGGCAGTTGAGGGGGAGGCAGAGAATTTTTCCTACATCTGTTGGGTTTTGATTACTTTTAACTCAAAAGAATCTTTAGGGACGCCTGGGTGGCTCAGCAGTTGAGCATCTGCCTTCAGCCCAGGGCTTGCATGATCCTGGGGTCCCAGGATTGAGTCCCACCTCAGGCTCCCCGCAGGGAGCCTGCCTCTCCCTCTGCCTCTCTCTCTCTCTCACTCTCTCTCTCTCTCTCTCTCTCTCTCATGAATGAATAAATAAATTTTTTTAAAAAAACAATCTTTACACCACAGTGGCCCATTTTGGAGCAGTGTGCCCTGGGCCCTACAATAGGAAAGAAGGAGTTATGGGTGTTGGATACAGGGAAAAGAGAAAAGAATCAGGAGGCAGGGAGCGCTACCAACATTGGGATGCTTATTCAAACCAAATTTGCTTATTTTCCCTAAGGGACCATGGTGATCATTTAGAAAGTTTTGTGGATTTCAGAAAAAATCTGAGCATCAGGGCTGTGTCAAGCCTTTGCGCTAGAGGCTGCTCTCCGAAGGGCCTTTCATTTCCACTGGGTTTACTCCCCACACTCACCAGGCAAAAAGTTCTCTGAGTGGTTCTCCCTAAGCAATGTCCCCTACAAGCAAAATTAAACTATTTACCTAGGGCGGAGAAAAAGGAGCTTTTGTGAACATAAATAAAGATGAGGGGTGGACGCTGTCCTGCTCACTGTAATGACCCCATGGGCCAGGTCTGGTCTATTCCCTCCTTTTAAGAGCTGCTCCTCTCCTGCGCTAGCCTTTGGATCTACCTAGAACAGCATCTTCGTCTTGACTGACTCCCTGAGCACAGTGAGTGATCCAGAGATAGGCACGATCAATCCAAATCCTTCCCTCGGGGACGCCTGGTGGCTCAGCAGTTCAGAGGGTCTGCCTTTGGCTCAGGGAGTGACCCTGGAGACCAGAGATCGAGTCCCACGTCGGGCTCCCTGCATGGAGCCTGCTTCTCCCTCTGCCTGTGTCTCTGCCTCTCTCTGTGTGTCTCTTTGAATAAATAAATTCTTAAAAAAAAAAATCCTTCCCTAGGATTTAGCCAACTGCATGTGGGAAAAAGGGTCTCTATGATCTAAGGACCATACAGTCTAAGAGATACTGAGGAACTATAAAGTTTCTACTGTGGCCCTCCATGTCCTTGTCACTGTAGCTTGCACACCCTCTTACCCATGACCTCAGCCCCTCATTGTTCCTTCCGTTTCTCTCAGTAAAATCCAAATTGTCCAAACAATGGCTTCTAATTAATCAGAGTAGTTACTCCCTTCCCTGAGTACCATCTTTGAACAGATATTCTTGAAACTAGCTGAACTTCAGCTGACCCTGCCTGCTGAAACCCTATAAAAAATTCCACCCATCTTCCCAAGTTAGAACGTTCCTTCTCATGCCGACAGTTTTGAAAAAAGACTTATGCTAATGGTGCTCTTGTTTTTTTCCACAGAGGAGATGAGTAAGAGATGCTGAGATGCCAGCAGCCGGACCACAACTGGTGAGAAGCCAGCCCGGGAGAGGGAATTAACATGGGAACAGGTGCAGGCGGGAGAGGTAGGGGTGGGGGGTGGAGGCAGAGACAGTGAGACCCAATGGTGTTCAAGTTTCCATCCTATTTCTTAAGCCTAGCACATCTGTTATTACCATTTTTTTTTTGTTATATAAGTGAAGAAGTTAAAATGGTGGGATTTTAAAAAAAAAAAAAAAGGAGAATCACCGCAGTCCTGAAATTTGTCTGTACAGACATGAAATGCTTTTTATAACTCTATACTGAAATCAACCCAAATCTAGAACCTCTATATCCAGGAATAAGGGTAAACCTTATCTTGCTTTTTCAAGTAGCTCATTCAACTAGTCACTCCTGGGTAAATGCTCAGTCCGAAATTCAGGGTTCTCCCCTTCACTCTTTGTCAATCCCACTCTTGGGGGTGAACGAAGGTGCTGGAGAATCAGGGTACTAAAAGGTAATTTTTAAAAATGTGACTCATACGAATATAAGATAAATTCGTGTCCAAGATTTTATGTTATTGATTGTTTCATGAAGACACTGGTAAGAGGTAAAAACTGGTTCAAAGGAGATCACAAGGAAAAAACACATCTATAGGCGACCCGGAATCTGAATTCAATGTGCCGAGAGAGACAAAACAGGCCTCTTCCGCTAAGTAGAAACCGAGGCCTCCTCTCTGGACAAAATGCACCTGCGTTTCTTTCTTTCTTTCTTTCTTTCTTTCTTTCTTTCTTTCTTTCTTTCTTTCTTTCTTTCATGCACCTGTGTTTCTAAGAATGGGATTATTCGCATCATCATCAGCCTTTTGCAAGTTACCTTTAGTTTCTATAGACTTGCGGAATAGTCCAGGACAGTGAAAGACACAGAGCCTTGTGGAATCCAGGTAACCCAGGAAGTTTCCAGAGATTTTGCCTAGAATTCCGTCTGTGCAGTCTAATCCTCTACACAGGCTCTACAGACTGGCTTACGTAGAAGTGACTCTGAATAACTGAACCTGAGACAGTTCCTGCCAAACGACACTATCAATTGCTGCCAAACTAAAAATATTCCTCCATTTTCATACAGTCCCCAAGCTCAATTCATGGGCATCGTGACAACACAATAACCACCCGAATTTCTGGGTTTCTCCATTGATTTTCATTGCGGCAGGTTAGCCAGGCGCACTGGGAACCCCTGTCACAGCCCTTGGCTCCCCACCTTGAGATGCATGTGCAGGTGGAGGGCTAGCTCAGGAACTAGGGTTCTGTGAGAGGAGGGATGAGGTTTCAGATTTCAAACTCAGACAGACTTCTAGCCTCAAGAAGGAAAGCCTGAAAATCATGGAAAAAAACACCCTTAAAAACCAGCACCCCTGTGGTCTGTCTCCCACCTGCCTCTTAGACACATTGTGCTTCCATTTGGATATTTCATCCTGACTTTCCGTGTTAGGAAGCATGCTGCATCATTTTTGGTCCAGAAAAGATCAAGAAATGAAAATATGCATGATCTGATGGGATTTCTCCTGAGAACTCATGGTGGATTTACTTACTCCCAATGGAGAGAAAAATTGGCCAAATAAGGCAAATTGAACATTTCACAAGCAGGCACGAGATCAGCCTCTTAGCTTCCCACCTCATGACTGTGACAGAGGTGGGGACAGACGCTGAGCGTCAGTAACTGCAAAGGCGAAGCCAAATGGAGGAGCCGTGCAGACCCAGATGGAGGGGCGCCAGATAGAATTGTAGACCTCAGAGCCGCAGCTACAGGAGCTGTCTGGGTGTGCACATTTGGTTTGCTTTGTCTCTTGTTTTGGGATGGCCCCCTGGGCTTAAATGCCAAATTTTGTACAGCACCGGTCCCACTGTCACCCATCTCGTCATCAGTGTTGGGCTAAACACAAGCTGACTGTCATCTTAGCGTCCCTACGTCCTCTAGTCCATGGAGTTGCACGTTTACATGGCCGTGCTTCGAATCTCGATCCTACACTGTGGAGAGTTCAAGATTTCTGCAAACCCCAGGCTGCATCCATTGCTGGCTCATTGCTCAGATTGCCTGCTTCCACTAAACTCTCAATCTACTTCACGTTCCACTTCTACGGTTCTTCTCTTCTCTCCATCCTTTGTTACCTCACGAGGGAAACACAGCACACACTTCTCTGATTTCCTCACCAGCGCAAGAAGTTCATACGTAACAGGCATTTATCAAAGTTTAAGGTAACATAGGATGCCAAACAGCACAGCAGATGGTTTAAGCTAAAACATGCCTCGTCTTGGACACCCTTGGGGGGACACCTGAGTGGCTCAGTGGGTTGAGTGTCCAACTCTTGATTTCAGCTCGGGTCATGATATCAGGGTCGTGGGATCGAGGCCTGTGTCAGGCTCTGCACTTAGCACAGAGTCGGCTTGAGATTCTCTCTCTCCTTTCCCCTCTGCTCCTCCCGCTGCCCGAGCTCTCTCTCTTTCTCTCTCAAATAGATGATAGATAGATAGATGATAGATAGATAGATATAGAATCTTTAAAAAAAATTTGGAAAAAATAGATACAGTGAATGTGGTGAAAAGTTGATAAAGTCTGAAACAAGGTGGTTACATAGGGTTTATACCATTTTTGTGATTTTTAAGCTCTACAGTTTTCACAAGAGTTTAAAAAATACACCAATCCTGAGATCTTGAAGCTATTTTGCTGTGTTTTTAGTTAGGGTGACAGCAAGACTGCCCTAATGGAGTCTCCAAAACACGGGGACTGATGATGTACGTGCTTCTTACAGTCTCAGGTAACAGTCTTGAGGTCGACCCTCTTAACACACGTTTGAGCGTATGTTCCAGTATTGTTAACTGCAAACACTATGTGGTACAGCAGATTTCTAGAACGTGTTCACCTTGCACGGCCGAAGGCTGGTACCCGTTGAGCAGCACCTCCTCGCTTCCTCCCCCTTCTGCCCCTGAGGACCACCATTCTGCTCTGCTTACAGGGCCCGACAATTTCACACACTTTATATAATGAGATCATAATGAGCTATCACTTCCCACCTGTTAGGTTGGCTATTATCAAAAAAACAAACAAACAAACAAACAAACAAAAAAACAAAAACAAAAGACAAAAAAACGAAAAGACAACAAGTGTTGGTGAGGATGTGGAGGAAAGAGCCTCTGTGTGGTGTTGGTGGGAAGGTCAAACCGGTGCAGCTGTTATGGGAGACGGCATGGAAGTTCCTCAACAAAATCAAAAATAGAACTATCATATAATTCGGCAATCCCACTATTGGGTATTTACCCAAAAGAACTGGCATCAGATCTCAAGGATACCCGTGCCCTCTCATGTTCATTCAGCGCAGCACTATCTACAACAGCAAAACACAGGGATAACGGTGCGTCCCCGGGGGACGAGTGGATAAAGCCCCTGTGTAGACGACATGCAAGCTCCTTGGGGACTCCCCGGGGGCCACGTGAGGGCCGGGGACAGGGGGGACAGAGGGGACAGGGGGCAGGCCACTTCCACGGTCGGTGGCGGAGTCAGACAAACACAGGGACTTAGCCTGAGGCTCTCTTGGGGGCTGCAAGGTGAGTAGATTTCTGCACCCAAGGGAGACCTGGCCAGGCCTTAAAGTATGTGCAGAGGCTTTTTTTTTTTAATCTTATTTATTCATTCATGGGAGACCCAGGGAGAGAGAGAGGCCGAGACCCAGGCGGAGGGAGAGGCAGGCACCCTGTGGGGACCCCGACGCAGGCCTTGATCCTGGGACCCTGGGGTGACCCCTGGGCCGCAAGCAGGCGCCCAACCCCCGAGCGCCCCGGCAAAATGGCCTGGAATTGGCACTTGTCACCAGCTGCCAGGTGACACCGATGGCCCAGGGACCTCGCCTTGACAACCCCAGACAGGACAGGACCGGCTCTTGCCTCAGGGACAAGGCCGCAGCCCAGCGATGCGGCCCACACAGGGGGACCTGGGCTACGGTCGTGCAGAAAATCCTTGGGACTCCGACAGCAGAAGAGAATTGCAAACGGGGCTCCAAAGCGGCTCCCCGGGCAGCACTGAAGAAAAGTATCCAGCTCGAGGAGGATGATGGGGCCCCCAGAAAGGGAGCTCAGCCCCTCCTGCCCCCCGCAGAGGCCGCCAAGTTTGGGGAGCAGATTTCAGGACGAGGCGGTCGCCCAGCCCACGGGGAAGGCCCTCCGTTAGGAGGAGGCCCTGCCGGTCGGTGTCCAGGACAGGATGGGGACCCGGGGGAGACAGGGATGGCTCAAGGGGACCTCCTGCCCGTGAGCCATGGGAGTGAGATGAATGCTCCCATCTTGGAATTCGGGTGAGTATCACATTTTGGAGTCACAGCACTTCTGGCCTCCGGTGGGAACACTGACTTGAGGGCCCTGCGGCCGCTTCCCGGGCTCATCATTTCTGTCCCCGGGGAAGGTGGCAGACGGTCGGTCCCACAGTTTCGGCAGATGTCCAGAAGGCCCGCAGCAGGGGAAATGGCGGACGATAGTCGTGTTGCCACTAGTACGTGTCGGGGGAGTTGGTGATGTGCCCAGAGCCGGGCTCATATCTGTTCCCCTTTGCAGATTTGCTCTTTATATGCTCTCATCACACCCTCTTCCCCAAGTTGCCTCCTCGGGCTCTGGCACCCCGCCTGGCTCTTCTGGGAGTCCAGTTGCCAATCCCCCAGGTATGTCCAGTCCCAGCTTCATCTCTCACCTCCCCCCGTGTCTGATCCCCTCCCCGTCCCTATTTTTTATTCCTTTATTCACTCACTCATCCATTGATTTAAGAAACATTTATCGGCTGCCTACCACGGATCAAGAGTTAGGTGCCGTAGCGGACGCTGGAGCCTAGATGGTAAGCGGTCTGTATGCCGGGGCCAGAGGAACGGACTTCATGCGGTGGCTGATGGTGAACCATGACGTATTTTAAGTAAAGAAATGCTTAACCGGGTTTGCATTTTATAAAGATGAGGTGGAGATTCTAGAAGTGGAATCTATAGGGATCTCTGAAAGACTGAGTGGGGAGGAGAGGAGAGGGCAAAGGAGGAATCAAGATGGTCCTTAGGGGTTTGGGCTGGAGAAACTTGGTGGTTGGGGTACTGTCTTCTGACACGGCTAGACTGTGGAGTTTGGGAAAGAAGGAGCTAGAAATGAAGTTGGAGAGAAAAGAATGACTTCAATCACAGATATTTTGGACTTTTTCATGTGAGTCCAAAACTAAGGTACAGAGGTAGATGTGTGTGGTTTGTGCCTCCCCCCCCCCCCCCAGGAGGATGAGAACAATCCTTGTCTCCCTTTGGCCTCTCTTTTCTACGTATTCTAGGATGATACCTTCTCTTCCCCAGCCTGTGGTTGCTCCCCTTTCCTTTCCAGGCTACTTAAAATCCAACTGTCATTAAAGGACAGAGAACACTCTACCCCCAGTAAACATCCATTGTATGTGGCTACTCTAATCCGCATTCATACAACGATGGCCTGCCCTTCACACTGAAAGTTTGGATGCTTGCTCTGGTGCTTAAAAGATCTCTTAGTTTTAGCTTCCTCGCTACATTAAATTACTGTCCTTAAGGGCAAAACAAATAATCGGTTCCTCCAAAGCCCGTAGTAGGAACCCTAAACTGCTTTACGTACTCAGAGAGTGTTAGAGGGAAACTTTGAGATCACCTTGTCTGGTGGTGTCCACCGAATCTAACCTCCAAGACATTGTCCATATGCCATTTTTCTTGTTTTAAGACCATAATAGCTATTGTACAATTCCTTTTTCTTTTTAAGATTTTATTTATTTATTCATGACAGACACAGAGAGAGAGAGAGAGAGGCAGAGGGAGAAGCAGGCTCCATGCAGGTAGCCTGACGTGGGACTCGATCCCAGGTCTCCAGGATCACGCCCCGAGCTGAGGGTGGCGCCAGACCGCTGGGCCATCGGGGCTGCCCCACTGGACAATTTCTTATATCAAGTCTCTCCAAGATGCTTTGGACAATAGCATGACTGACTTCAGTTTAGTTTCTCTGGTGATTGCCTAAGAAATGAATCAACGATTTAACAGATTTAGCAAACTGCAGGTCCACAGAAAAGTCTTTCAAAAACTAGAGAACGTGGAAAGAGAACAAAGCATTCCTTGGAGGTAGAAATGAGGGAACACTGATCTCGGCCAATGTCCTGTTAATGGGAGCCCAGGTTGAGAGGCTAGGCCGGGGTGTGACCTACCATCGCTCCCCTGGGGCTGGACTCAGCGTGGAATTCAGCACTGCTCCCCCAAGGGCCTCGTCAGCTCCAGGAGTTACTGCTGAGCCCGCAGGATGGAAGGGAAGGAACCACCATTTGGTGAGACTCTAATATTTACTAGTAACTCTCAAAACATCCTCACTGGGTGTTCCATTATGCATTATTGCATTTCTTCTCCAGAAAAACCTATTTTCATTTGGTTGTCATAATTTTTTTTTTTTTTTTTTAGGTAGTGAAACTGAGAGCAAGTGGGGTTAAAAATGTTCCCCAGGTCCACCAAGTCCAAAGCGACAGAGCCTCTCCAGACTCAGGAAGTCCTGGGCCCTCAGGGGTATGTTCATCCCATTTTGAAGAAAAGATTATGGTGCAGCAGGCTTGGAAGGTGCTGGAGAATATAGGGCCCCGGGGCTCACGAAAGTACCAGGCAAAATGAGAGAACGTCTCAAGTAAACTAGAAAATTCAGTCTTTCTTTTCTTTCTTTCTTTCTTTCTTTCTTTCTTTCTTTCTTTCTTTCTTTCTTTCTTTCTTAAAAAAATTATTTATTTATTAATGAGAGAGAGAGAGAGGCAGAGACACAGGCAGAGAGAGAAGCAGGCTCCATGCAGGGAGCCCGACGCGGAACTCGAACCCAGGTCTCCAGGATCCTGCCCTGGGCTGAAGGCGGCGCTAAACCGCTGAGCCACCTGGGCTGCCCTAGAAAATTCTTTAAAGCCAGTTTTCAGGATCATTATCTGGACTTGGCCACATTCTTTACCCAGCGCTGTACTTCAGTTCTCTAAGTTTCTGTTGCCACAGCCCGACCTTCCTTCTGAGGCATCTATCCTCTAAGGGACAGCTGTGGAGATGGGCCACCTGGCTATGAGGACACGAACTCCACCTCTTGGCTCCTCCTTTTCCCTGGAACCTCTATCTAGTTCTAAATTCAGCTACTGTGTTCAACTTTAAACTTAGAGGGTGTTCATTGTAAATTAGCTCCTTCTCCCCTATTTCCCGTTTCTCTGATGGCGTTGTGACTTTTTTCATCAGCTGGCTCAAGACTTGGAGGACCCTCTTGTCTCGCTCCCCTGCAGGTCTAAGATCTGCCTCCCTGAAGCCTTTCACAGCTTGGTCTACAGCCCAAGGCCCCCACCACTGCTCTGGCCCTCGAGACCTCTGGCCTGGATTAGAGCAATCACCTCCTGTTTCCCTTCCCTTCTCCCATTCTACTTCCATCCGTCCCATGTATTTCTGACACATTAATTTTTTGAAAGCTCTATTCTGTTTATGTCCTATTGTTCACAAAAAGCCAATAATATTTTCCTGCTGTGGCCAAAATAAAGAAAAATGCTCAGGGACACCTGGGTGGCTCAGGAGTTGAGCATCTGCCTTCGGCCCAGGGCATGACCCCGGGGTCCCGGGATGGAGTCCTGCATCGGGCTCCCTGCATGGAGCCTGCTTCTCCCTCTGCCTGGGTCTCTGCCCCTGTCTCACTGTGTCTTTCATGAATAAATAAATAAAATCTTAGGGAAAAAAAAAAAGACAAATGCTCAGACTCCCATGCGAGCTTTACCCAATTTCATTTCTCACCCCGATCTCCCGGTGCAGCGTCTTCTATGGATTACTGCAGTGAAGTGTTTCCTTCACTGTTTCCTTCGGGCTTTTCCAGCTCTGTGCGTTTGCTGGCACTGGGATGCCTTACACGCATCCCTCCACCCCTGCCGGCATTGGGAAGCCTTTGGATCAATGTGGGATCCTCCATAAGGGGATTTCCTGGTGACCCCGCAGGGTAAAGGTCCTCTTGTTTTTAGCCTCTTAACAAGAGCCTCTCTGGCATTTCTCAAGACCCTTACAGTCTGGGTCTTCCTGTTCTTATGCAGGGGGTCTAAATGCATGACTGAAATTCAGAAAGTCAATTGATGTCAGCTCGACACCATATTGCATCTGACTCCGGGGCCCAGGGCCTCCAGGTGCGTGGAGAAGCCCATCTTCCCCAGGACCCAATGAGAGTCTAAGAAGCTGGGGCATCCCGGAGCCCAGGTAATGAAGTCCTGAGCCTTAGTTCCCCCCCAGGGCGCAGCCCCACCACTTGAACCCTCCCAGGTCCTTGGAGGAAGCCCGCTGGCTGGGTCATACCTTCCGTCCCCCGCGAAGCTCTGTCCTGTTCCCGGACAGCCTCCTGCCACCCATGGGTCCAGCTGAGGTCTATTCCTTTGCCATGGGGAGAAATTCCCGCCCTCTCTTGGCCTTCACAGATAATCCTTTTTCTCTGCCTCTCCTTGCCGGATGCCCATATTTTCACAAAAATCATAGGCCTTTCACGGAAGATTGAAGGAGAGATTGTCTCCTTGTATTTCTGTTTTCTGCCCTGAAACACAAAGGACCCCAAGGCAGAGGAGCGGGGAGCCCTGCGACCTTCTAGCCTTAGGGGGAGGCTGAGAAAAAAGGGGGGACAGAAACAGGGGCGCCTGCTGCAATCTGCACCCTGCGGCCCTTGTCTAGGTTGTCGACCACAGCAGTAGCCTGCTCCCCCCCCAGGCCTGCTCCTCCCCAGGGCTGTTCCTACTCCCCTCCAGGCCTGCTCCCCCCCCCAGGCCTGCTCCTCCCCAGGGCTGTTCCTACTCCCCTCCAGGCCTGCTCCCTCCCCAGGCCTGCTCCCTCCCCAAGGCCTGTTCCCTCCCCAGGCATGCTCCCCCCCAGGCCTGCTCCCTCCCCGCGCCCCCTGCAAGCCCCTGGCTTACCTGAGGTCAGGAGTCAGGAAATGGCCTTTTTCCCCTCCACTTTGTTCTGCCTCTCCTGCCACACATCCTGTTGGCTGTGCCCCCTCTGCCCGAGGTCGAGGTCAGCGCTGGGCAGGTCCCCGGCAGCCTGCTCCCCCTCCCATGTGCCAGGCAGGAGCTGCCAGGGCTGACCCGGGGCCACAGCCATCTGCTCCCCTGAGCCCTCGACCCCTGCTTCCCTGGTCAGGCCTCACCTGTGCTCAGAGCCCCGGGGTCAGCAGGGGGCCTGGGGTGTGCCCGGGGTGCTGCCGCCCCCCACGTGCAGAGCAGGCAGAGAAGGGGACCCAGGGCATAGGAAACAGGGCACAACGTGACCGTTTGGCCAGCGCCGCGGGGACACCTCTCTTGGCTGGCGAATGCCTCCTCCCTATGCAGAAGCCTGGGTGCTGGCCTGTTTCCCTTGCCAGGGACAGTCTGGGTTCTCCAGGGACATCCCCACGCCCACTCCCAGGCCCCTGCTCCACCATCCCCACTGCGTCCCACCGTCCCCACCGGCTGGGCCTCTGGTGCCAGCTGCTCCCTGCTGTGCCCCTGGCCCCGGGGCCTGCCACCCTGGCCCCTGCCCTGAACCGCTGAGCTCAGGCCTCTGGGGCAGCCCCTGCCTCCCTCGGTGCACTCTCCTCCCCTGGGGCTCCCCGCAGACTCCCAGGGAGGGGACACCTGGCTCAGCTCAGGGACAAGGTGAGCTGTCCTTGCCCCAGGGGATTCGGATTCCAGAGGCTCCCTGGCTGTTCCCTGACTTAGGGTAAGGGGACATTCCAGAGCCCGCTCTCCTGGATGGCTCTTTGGAGGGGGCCTGTTTCTGCCACGAGTCCTGGCCTTCTCCTAGAAAGGCTGCCATGGCGATGGGAGCCCGCAGTGGGCAAGTAGGGGGGCGGCGAGGCCTCTCCCTGCACCTCTCCTTGCAGGGCGGTGCTCCTTAGCTACTTGGACTCCAGCGGGGGGGGGGGGGGGGGGGCAAGGGGGGGGCAGGGCGGCAGAAACACCCCCCAGTTAGCTAAGCCTCACACCCGCAGGCACATGAACACCATGCAGTAATGAGAGAAAACGACTTAGGACCAGAAATAACGGGCTTCAGCCTCATGAACACATTCTGAGCACCAGTGGGTCAGGCGCTGTCTCCCACCCCCTCCGGGTTGGAAAGAGGCCTATCGAATGGCCCTTCTCTATCCTCTATGGGAGATCTTTCCTTGATCATTTTAATTTATTACGTGCCAAATGTTGGTATAAATAATTACCTTTCAACTGCCTGGGGGAAGTTTTTTTTTTTTAAATTTGTAAAACATTTACTTGTAAAAGCTGAGGTACGTTTGCAAAAATTAACCTTCTTATTCTCAAATGCGGATTCTTTTCTGAACCCAGAAGAAAGGACTATCACGTTCATCTATTTCCTACCCTACCATGGTAAAAAAAAGTTACACAGTGTTCTAGAAAAAACTGCGTGAGAGAAAATAGCTTTTGGATTCGGGCATCTTTATCATCCGAGCAGCTTGTGGAATTGAGGAGCCCACAGGAGCCTAGGTCAGCACCCCAGACTGCAGGCCTGGGCAGACAGTGGTGGGGGATAGGACCCAGAGGCAGGCTCTGCAGGGGCCTGGAATTTCACCCTGTCATCTGGACGAAGTGCTTGTGTTTGCATTTGTAACATGTTATTCTTTTAATCATTAAAAATCACTAATCCTTGACTTTATTTGTATTTCCCAGAACGTGGCCCATGGACCATCTGCATTAGTAGCAACTAGAGAGGATGTCTAAATGTAGGTGCCTGGGCCCCAACCAACACATGGTGTTGGGGATCCTGGAACTTACACTTTCAACAAGCCGCCAACCTCTCAAGTTTGAGAATCCCTGTAAACCTCACGCTCCTTGACCTATCAGGTCCAAGGCTGTTGTCTTCTTGCAATAAAACCACCGAAGCCCCCAGTTGCAACTTCCTATCCTTCTTGGTGCTCTGCTCTCCTGATAGAGTGTCATGTTCGGTCCTCTACTAGTCTGTGATTTTTTTTTTTAAAGATTTTATTATTTATTCATGAGAGACACAGAGACAGAGGCAGAGACACAGGCAGAGGGAGAAGCGGGCTCCATGCAGGGACCCTGACGTGGGACTCGATCCGGGGTCTCCAGGATCACGCCCTAGTCCGAAGGGGGCGCTAAACCGCTGTGCCACCGAGGCTGCCCTGGTTTTTACATTCTTGATATTAGCAAACACAATGCTCATAATAACCCAAAGCAAAAAAATCAGAAAAACTTCACTTATTCTCCTAAGCAGAATCCATAGCCTCAAAAACATCTGAAAGAACATTTTTAAATAAATGATGGGAAAGGTTGGGGTTGTTGTGCCCAAGATTGAGAATCCGAGAAACCACCGAGGAGCCGACACCGGTGCAAGCGCACGAGGGTTTATTAGCAAGCTCGAGCTTGGGTCCAAGTGTACCCGACACCGTGGAGCAGGGACTTGGACCCCGAGGTGGGTTTCAGCTTAGTTTTTATAGGCTGGTCTAGGGGATTTTTCAGAAGGGATGGAGGAATTTCTCAAGTTCTGCTTGCATTTTGATGTGGGGCTTTCAAGGGCATTGAGCTCTGTTCTCATTCTAATATGGGACTTTCTACCACGGGCGTGGGCTCTGTTGTCTTTGTGATATGAGATTCTCTGCCGAGGGCAATTCTGAGCTCTGTTGTCTTTCTGATATGAGATTCCCTGCTGAGGACATTGAGGAGATTCTGCAGTTTTCCCCAGAAAGTTCAGCTCTTATTCACAGGGGCCTAAGATGGCTGTACTTGTGCTAATGCTAAACTTGAGGTGGGATGGCCTTGATTCTTCTCGGCCTCCACAGGGTGATTCATTATCACCTGGTCTGAGAATTTTATGATAACCAGAATCCTAGGAAGGAGTGAAAAAGAGAAAGAGGAAAAAAGAGCTAACATTTAATCTTTACGTACCCCCCAGCAATCCTGAAAAGTGGTCATAACCCTTCCCATTTCACAGTCAGAGAATGGAAGCCCCCAGAAGATGGGCAACCAGAGGCACAGTAAGAGGCAGGGCTTGGATTCCGGCTGAGGTCACTTTAATCAGTTCGTCTAAATCCCCTTTTCTGTGACCCTCCTCCCCCTGCCCCAGGGGTGGTCAATCCCTCGTGCTCAGATGTAGAAGCTCAAGACCAAAGAGCTGGAGGGCCCAGCCTCTCGCCCTGCAGCTAGAACCCTGGTGTGTTTCTGGCTGTAATTTGCCTGGTCTCAAAATCGAATCTCCCCCCCACCCCACCCCAACCGAACAGAGTTCTTTCTGTTTCTCCCACTGCTTGGATGCATATACCTACTTTCTGACGCTTGAATTTGATTTGTATTCGTGTGTTTGTATGTCCATCTTCCCATGACATTGTTGCTCAAAGAAGACCAGATCGTTGGGTCACACTTGTATCCCTTGGAGCCCAGCCTAATTCTCTGCATACCGTAGGCGCTCAACCAGTAAACAGAGCAAACAAATGGGTGAGCAGTTTGATGTCAGCCTCTGTAATACTGAGGCTACCGGGAGTAAGCGCTCCCTCAGCTCCACCTTCCCTGGCCCTCCGGACCCTCCCCACGGGACACACGGGCTCCCACGCAAAACCAGCGACACACACACATCACAGGGGGCTGGAGGACTATTCCCCCGAAATGTAGGCGGCCCTAATGACGTCCTCCGTGTTCCAGGCCTCCCTTTGACCTGTTCCTTTTGACCAAGTAAGAGAGAATGAGGCTGAGAGACAGACAGACAGACAGGTTGACAGAGGAGGGGGGACAGAAAGAAATAAAGGAAAGGTGGAAAGAAAGAAGACATTAATTCTGTACTCACTTTCGTATTTTATCAGGCAGCAGGGACTATTAAAAACCGTTTTCCAGAACAGGAGGTCCTGTTTCCTAGTGCATCAGAGGGGAGGAATGTCGATTTAAAAATCAGCTATTGGTGGGGCCCAGGGAGCAGGAGAAACTTTTCATTTGTTCTAAATGTCTCGAGAGATTGATCGGATGGAGAAAGGACGCTGGCAAGAAGCTTCACCTCCTTCCCTGTTTATACCTGCGAGAGGGACGGTTCTCAAGGTTTTTTTTTTTTAGTCTGGAGATCTGAGCTTGTTTTAAGAATCTAATGAAAGGAAGAGACTGTCTTTCTAGAAAATACATGTTTATGTGCATACATATGCATGAGATACATGTGAAACACAATTTTGAATTCGAAGACCCCAAAATTAAGAATCAGCCATTCGCATGGACGCACCCATATACACACACACCTGTGTCTTTACAGAACTCTCCTTCCAGGGCCTCACTCTTCCAAGCCCTGGAACAGCCTCAAGTCTATGTGATATAAAAACTGAGGTCTTTTCTTCCTATCCCAGCTTTTTTTATATTTATTTATTTATTCATTAATTCATTTAAAATTAAGATTTTATTTATTTATTCATGAGAGACATATAGGGAGAAAGAGAGAGAGAGAGAGAGAGAGAGGCAGAGACCCAGGCAGAGGGAGAAGCAGGCTCCGTGCAGGGAGCTCGTCGCGGGACTCGATCCCAGGTCTCCAGGACCAGGCCCTGGGCCAAAGGTGACGCTAAACCGCCGAGCCCCCCAGGGATCCCCTCCTATCCTGGGTTTAAATACTAAACACAGTTTCCCACAGAGGTATGTTGTTTCTATCTGCTGGTGACATTCTAGATTGTCATTAGGTCCCTCTTTCTGTTACCTCGTGGCTGAAGAGGCTGTGAGCTTGCGTGGGGTCGGAGCCACTCATCTTGCTTCTTTGGGAAAATGCGTTTAATCTGTTGTAACCAAACAACTCCTGAGTGAAGATTTGGAATTTAGTAAGTTGGATACTTAGTAAACTGGGGGCAGCCTGTGTTCCACTTGTGAAAGAGGAGAAATCATCCTTTTACACAACCACGGAATTGGGCTGCAAGCCTAAAGACTGAAAAGGATGCCTGTTAGGGGAAAACACAACTTCAATTTAAAAAACTGAAATATCTACTTAATGACCTGAGGCCTCTGTGTGTACACCGTTCACTCCTTGGTTCTCTGTGACCTCTAGTACATCAGCCCTGCAGTGCTGGCCAGAGGAGGGAAGGCCAGAGTTCTTCCCGCAGGTAGGAATTTTAACATAGGACGCCCGGGGAGCTCAGTGGTTGAGCATTTGCTTGGACTCAGATCATGACCCCGGGGTCCCAGATTGGGTCCCATGTTGGGCTCCCTGCGTGGAGCCTGCTTCTCCCTCTGCCTGGGTCTCTGCCTCTCTCTGTGCCTCTCACGAATAAATAATAATCTTAAAAAAAAAAGAATTTTTACATAAACACAGATAAAACGATTATTTTTTTCTGTAAGGCTGAATAACCAGCTATTTTAATGATCTGAAAGCACCTAAGATTTCAGTAGTTTGAATTGCATTTTGATGCACCTTCTTCTATAGAAAGCACAAGGAAAAAATGAATAATTCATGAATGACGTGGTACATTCATGACTTATTTACAGCCCAGCACTCCTGGTAACTCAGAGAACATCAAACATCCTACACCCCGGCCTGCCATTTAGAGAAGCGTTTGGGGGGGGAGAGAGGACACGCAGAACACAGAGGACGTACTGTTCACTTTATACAAGGGTAGTGAATAAGAAGCCTAAATATTTGCTGAGAAATAAATTGAACGCTGATGAAAATAAAAGTCAAAGTATCGAGAGACTGAGTAAGAGGCCCTGAGAGAGATGGCATGTGCTGTTATTCGATATGTTTGTCTCTCTATGCTTTTTTGTACTTAATTGTTCATGCTGCCTGGGATTTTGTTTAGTCTTTCTGAATATTCCTATTTCCTCCTAAAATGTTAACTATGGGGCAGCCTGGGGGGCTCAGCGGCTTAGCGCCACCTTCGGCCCAGGGCGTGACCCCGGGATCCTGGGATTGAGTCCTGTGCAGAGCCTGCTTCTCCCTCCACCTGGGTCTCTGCCTCTCTCTCTCTCTGTGTGTCTTTCATGAATAAATAAATAAAATCTTTAGAAAAAAATAAAATGTTAAATGTTAACTATGAAAAACCACCTAAAACCTCACCGTCATGAGAGGGATATAGTTTTGCCAGTTTTCCAACATACTTCCTCACCTGTGGTTTTGCAAACCTGTCGCTAAATGCCACAGATGTCCCTTCCAGCCATGGCCATGACCCTTTGCCCACAGAGCCTTAGCTGGAAGGTGCTCAGGCAGGGCTCCTCGTCCCTGGGGGGTAGGGCGCCAGGGCCTGGAGTCACCCTGGCAGTGATCGCATAGTTGGGGGGTGGATGGTGAGAGGAAGTAAGGCAGAGTATCTTTCCTTCTTGACACTCTATTTTCTTCTCCAGAGGAAAAGCGATCATATCCGTGAAATTAGGAAAAACGGTTAAGAAAAAAATAAACATTTTAAAAATCCTTCATGAGTTTTCATAAAATGCAACTCCATGTGCATTAAGGACCTCGAAGCTAAAGCCGGCCCCCCACCTGGACTTCAGGCCCAGAGGGCAGTGAATGTTCGCTGGGGGAGGGGGCAGCGAGGCCCAGCCATCCCGCCCCAGCTGACCCTACCGTCTCAGTTGGGATGAAGCCCAATGATGAACAAGATTTTGGTGAAAACGGGTGGTTCCAGAGGGTTCCTCCCCCAGGGACCATCAAATCCTGCACTGTCGGTGAAGCTACCTCAGCTGCAAACCCAGCCTCACTAGTTAGTGTCTTTGTCTTTATTAAAGATAAAAGCCCAACTTTGACACATTCTTATCCCATTGGGGAAATTCTCCCCATATAATACCTTCTTCCACCTTTTTTTTTACAAGTAGGATAGGTGGGATTAACTACTGTCCTTGAGAGACACTTTCGCAAGTTGTCCTTAGCATGGATTTTGCCACTAACTCATTCTTGTGGGGTCT